TTGCCGTGTTGGAACCCGGCGGCGGGGAGGGATGGCCGGGGCGGCGCCGATGGGGAAGAGGACGGCGAGGACGGCGGTTGTGCCGCCGACGGAGGCCGCCCGGAGCCCGTGAGGCGGCCATGGGGCTGGGCTCGAGCTCCGAGGTGCCCGACGGGGGCTCCGAGGGCTACCACGTGCATGGGGTACGTGGCATGGGGCACGACTGGGTGACCTCGGGAGGGTCCCCTTCCCTCCCTTGGGGGTGGGGGTGGGAAAACAGCCTCTTCTTCTGATTATTCCTCTTGTGATTTATTTTATTTTTTATTTTATTCATTATTTATTATTATCATTATCATTGTTATCGTTGTTGTTGTTGTTGTTGTTGTTGTTGTTATTATTATTATTATTATTTCATTTTTTTAAATTTTATATTGACGCGCACGGAGGACGTGCAGCGGATTGGTTTCTGTGCAGGACTTTAAATGTCTTGCCTTTCGCCGTCTTGGATCCAGGACCTGCCCTCTCTCGGGCTCCCCTGATGCTGCTAGGAAAAGTTCCATTTTTGGGGGACTACCCAGCCCTCCAACTTGGGCAAGTCGCCCTGCTGGCTGGAGGCTGTGGCCCGTCTGGAAAAAAAAAACTACTTTGAGGGAAAGGTTTGGGGAGGTAGAAGAAGAAGAAGACCCGGCCTGCAGACACGAGAAGGAAGGCACAGCTTTGGGGTGGCACTTTTATCAAGTTTTATTTCGCCGTGATTCGTGGGCTCCGATGTAACGGGATGAAATATTCATCCAGAGGTCCATTGGCTGTATACGTTTTGGAGGTTGGGGAGGCAAGGTACTGAAAATGAACATCCAAAGGGTCTTCATTTATTTATTTAAAATATCTTGTGCCCTGCCTTTTTTCCCCTTTAAAAGGACTCAAGGCAGCTGGCATCCTTAAAAGACAAGGTTTAAAGCAAACAAACAAACACACACACACACACACAATGAGCTACAAAGGCGTCTTGATTCATTATAAGAGGACATTTAAAGCACAGTACAGTTGAGTGTACAAAGGCGGTTTGCATCATGGGCCTTTCAAGCTAAAATCAATAAGGATACAAATATTTAAAAGGAACAAGCAAATAGCTAGTCTGATAAATGGTAAATAAAAGCAATACTAAAAACCCCATTCAAAGCAGTAATGCGAAAATTTAAAATTCCACTCAGTCAAGCAGCACCAGGAAGAGAAAGGTCTTTGGGATAGTGATGTAAGTTATGAGCCGCGAGAGTCTTGGTGGCATAAATATCTTAGTTATTATACATGAATGGTTACTTGTCAGGTGTGTGCATAGGCTTGCTTTTGAAGTACAGAGAACTTGAGCCGGGAGCTGTCTTCCTTTTTTGTTTGTTTTTGTCAACTGGGTGTTTGTTGATTTCAGTTTTGAAGGGTTTCCTCCTTTCCAGCAGTTGCTCATCCAGTGACGTACTTTTGTGCAGCATTTCCGAGGCAGGTTTGCAGAGCTGCCTGCAAGGAGGGTTGGTGAGAAGAGAATTTTCTTCTAACAGAGCAGCCCGTGTGTAAATTTGGAATCGTAAAGCCCCATTACTTTATGTTGTGCTTTTATTTTATTTTATTTTTACTGTTGCAGCAAAGGTCTTCCTGTTGGCCGGCTTGTACAGATCCATTCTCTCTCCCTGTGTGTTGGCCGTAGCCTACCTTAAGATCTCTTTCCTCCCTGCTGCTGATGTAGTCTCTTGGCTTCTGGCTGAGGCCATGGACAGGTAGAAGAAGTTGCAGCCTGATTATGACTGCTTAACAGGAGTGTTTTGGTGGAGCCAGACTTAATCCACTTTTTAGCAGCAATGGTGAGGTCATTCACCTGCTCTGTTTTCTCTGTTCCTTCTGAGTTTCCTGTATACTTCCTCTGTAGTTTAGGGAGAAATGGATTTCCTCAGTAGCAGTATATTTTTGGAATGCAAAAGATCATTTGTTCTTGAATGAGCAATTAAGAGCCATTAGCATGACAAAAGACCTTCAGGTAGAAGTTACTAGCATTTGTTTTATGTGGCTTGATCTACTGGCCTGCATTTTTGGAACTCTGCACTGGGGCTCTATGGGGAACAGTCAGGGTGGGGGCTGAGGGTGGGCCTCCTTCCCTTCACTCTGCAACCATGCAGGTGAAGGAAGGAGAGCCAACATAGTCCTTTTTTTCTTCTTAGAAAGGAATCCTGGGTTTTGTTTTCTGTGCAGGTCATGCATATTTTTGCTGTCTTTCTTAAAACGGTTTCTACCAGTTGTGCTTGTTGAGGCAACCTTGAGCATCTGGGACATCTGGAAAATCTGCAGCTCTTTCCATTAGTCAGCCTGCCTCTTGCTTGCTCTCAAAAACATTCATTTCCACAGGAAACAGGACATTTTTAGGGAGAAAAATAGTTAAAAATAGGTCCACTCAAGCAAGCTTTGCATCATTCTCTGATGCTTTCCCGCCGGCAGTGGTCCCCAACCTTGGGCCTCCAGATGTTCTTGGACTACAGATCCCAGAAGCCTTCACCACCACCTCTGCTGGCCAGGATTTCTGGGAGTTGAAGTCCAAGAACATCTGGAGGCCCAAGGTTGGGGACCCATTGCTCTAAAGGATGGTATATTATCCTGCTTGGTCACTGTTTTTAGAGTCTTTTTTCCTGTAACCACTTTCGTATCTGTCCGTTTTGCCCCTCACATGCCTTCCATCCCTTCGCCAACCACAGCTACCCACTTCAATCGTGCCTCGTTCTGTGTTTGTTAAGATTTTATTTATTTCATTTAAGATATTTTTTACGCCTACTGTCTTCTTAAAAGGACCCAAGGCAGTTTACGTCGTTAAAAGACAACATGAAAGCTAACTGTAGTGAGTCTAAAGATACTAAAAAGGGACCAAACAAATACCATACGAAAAGCCTAAGAATAGTCTGCTTGTCCACTCCAGGTGTTCTGATCTGTCATTGTGTTCTTTATAAAGAATAGTAAAATAAAACATCGTGTTTCAGCGGCCAGTGTTCTTAAGCTAATGTCCACCTTTTGTCAGAGAACAGTGCAAGATGTACTGTAGAGATTACTAAGTATTGCAGTACATTGTGTACATGTGTAGGTTTTGTGGTGTTCTTTTTAAAAAATCTGAAATGTGTGCGGTGTGCATTGATTCTTCATTGCATTATTGTGTGGAGCAGAAATGGAGTGCAACCATATTAGTAGAGACAACTGTGAATGTTGAGGCTTGTGCAGAAACAAAAGGAGGACTGCATGTTGTTTGGCCCTAGCATTTGAATTACGGCGTTGTTGAATTATCTCAGAATATTGAATGGTCTGATAGCAGATCAAGTCGAAGTGGGCTGGATAGCTTAGTTAAGTTTCTGGCTGCCGAGCCAGAGGTTGGAAGTTCGGTTCTCCACTGTGCATCCCAGAAGAACCAGCCTGAGTGGACTTGCATACGTGTGTGTGCGTGTGCATGCGTGCACCTTCGCATGCACATGCAGACACGTGTGGACGGGCGGAGTGGTAAACCACTTCTGAGCATTCTTTATTTGCAAAAACCCTGAAAAGTGTTGCCCTAAGTCAGAATGGATTCACTGCGAAACAACTACAGTATTATTGTTAGACCAAGCTGAAACATATTTACCCTGAAAAGTGTTGCCATAAGTCAGAATGGATTCAATGCGAAACAACTATTATTGTTAGTTATATTTGTTATATTATATTCAGTTAAACATATTCGTTATATTATATTCAGTTAAAAGAGGAGCATTAGAACCCCCAGAATTCTTATCAACCAAACTCTGAACAGCAAGATCAGTCACACTGACATTATACATTATGCACCATCTGTTTTGCATCTTTCCGTGATGCTTCCACAGTTTATTTTGAGACATTGCAAAAGCATCATTTTCAACACACACACATCCCAGAGCTCCCATTGGGTAAGAACCGTGAAGTTATGGTGGCAGACTATTACAATGAGTGGCTTGCCCAGTTTTAAAATATCTGCAAGGTTGGTAGACCCTTTTGGAGCCACACAACAGAGATGCCTAAAAGAGAAACAGGTTTTATTGGTGTATTCGCGAAGGCTTTCACGGCTCGGATCTAATGGTTGTTGTGGGTCTTTCGGGCTCTTAGGCCGTGTTCTGAAGATTGTTCTTCCTAACATTTCACCAGTCTCTGTGGCCAGCATCTTGAGAGGACAGCAAACTGTGCTCTCTAGGGACAGAACTCTGTCCTCTGAAGATGCCGGCCACAGAGACTGGTGAAACGTTAGGAAGAACAACCTTCAGAACACGGCGAAAGAGCCCGAAAAACCCACAACAACCATGTTTTATTGGCTTTAAGTTGCCGCAGATAGTAGCTTGTAGATTGCATCAACAGAGTTTGTGTCAAGTAAAACATGGCGAGCTTTTAGGGCACCCCAAGATTGTGTCTGGTTTTTAGCTGCATTACATTTATTTATTTATGTATTTACAAGTTGTTGTTGTTTTAGCTGTAACCATTACAAATGGTCTCTGAGCGGCGTACAACAAATGATTCCTGTCCCTTTTCCCCACCACCGTACAACAAATGATTCCTGTCCCTTTTCACCACCACCGCCGCGTGCGCGCACGCACGCACGCACGCACGCACACACACACACACACACACACACACACACACAAAAGCCAACAGAAAAATTGTGTGGAAAATAATTAATCCAAAGATCTAATCGATGGTTGTGTTCAAAACTGAAATACGGAAATTTCTAGTTCCCCAGAGAGATTGCGAAATGAAACGGGCCCAGCCGCACATCCTCACTGCCCATTTAAGCTGCCTTGGTGGCTTTGGTGTGAGCGCAGAGGGGAAAATGTTTGAGGAATTTTTCTGTCCGTCTTGCTTTATTTATTTATTTGGGGGGAGTAGGTGGATGGTTGTGTTTTCACTGTAGGCCAGAACTAGCTGCAAATGACAAACTGTTTAGTCTGTGAGCGTGCGTGATGTGGACAGCTTCTGTATTAACTCAAGTTGCAAACTCAGTTTAGTACCTGGATGCTTGATGCTGGCATTCTTTTTACTGGTTTGTAAACAGTTTTTGCTCTCTTTACAGGTTCAGGAAAACTCCCCTGCTCAGCAGGCTGGCTTGGAGCCGTTCTTTGATTTCATCCTCACTATAGGACATACCAGATTGGTAGGTATCCAAGCCCAGGCCATCGAAAAATGCAAAGCGGCCCTATCACAAGTCTTGACCATTTGTTCATCTAGCCCTGTACCCAGCAATAGGGAAGGGTTTGGTTTGGGTTTTTTTTTAACTACACTTCCCAGAACATTCATTCATTCAATTTGTATCCTGATCCCATTAGTGTCACAGCACTACTCTGGGCGGGTTTGTTCTTGTTTAGATGTTAAGTCGTGTCCGACTGTTTGTGACCCCCATGGACCAGAGTATGCCAGGCCCTCCCGTCTTCCACTGCCTCCCAGAGTTGGCAGATTCATGTTAGTTGCTTCGATGGCCCTGTCCATCCATCTCATCCTCTGTCGTCCCCTTCTCCTCCTGCCTTCACACTTTCCTAACATCAGGGTCTTTTCCAGGGAGTCTTCTCTTCTCATGAGATGGCCAAAGTATTGGAGCCTCGGCTTCAGGATCTGTCCTTCCAGTGAGCCCTCAGGGTTGATTTCCTTCAGAACGGATAGGTTTGTTCTCTTTGCAGTCCAGGAGACTCTTCAAGAGTCTCCTCCAGCAGCTCAATTCAAAAACATCAATTCTTCGGCGGTCCAGAAAACAAAAATAAAAGGAGGGATATCAAAACCAATAGCAATGATCCTAAAAAAAAACACCAGATGGTACTAACTAATCCTGGAGTGGATGGCGGAAAAGAGGGGAAGGAAGAAGTAGTGGATGGTGGAAAAGAGGGGAAGGAAGAAAGGAGGGGAAGGAAGAAGGGCAGGGGAAGGTGGTCAGCTGGGGTCAGTGAGGAAAGCCTCCGTCCACTGCTGCCTCTGGGTTTCTAGAAGTTGTATCCCAAAAAGCAGATGTTTCCCTTCTGTATCCAGTGTGGTTGAAACAGAACAGCAGCAGCCCTCTGAGGTTTTGACAAGATGCTTTCCTACCTGGCGCCCTACCGAGAGCTCATGCTATTCCCTGGTGGTCTGATCTCTCAGCCAAGTACTAACCAGGCCTGACCCATCTTCACTTTCTAAATCAGGCGAAATCAAATATGTACTGTGTTTTCAATGTGCTGTGGTGGTATCCTGTCACTCTACGGTGGTGTTAGGGGTGCACAGTTTTTAAAAAATGATGCATTATTGTAGATCAGGGACGGCAATATTTTGCTGCAGCCACTGGTAGCCCTTCTGTCCTTTCCCTCTCATATATATCATGTCTGGACACATAAGACCAAGGTCGATTTGTGGCACCGCTGCAGAGGGAAGGCAGGGAGAAGTGCTGAACAGCTGCTGTGTCCCAAAGACCTGTTTGCAGGGCTTGTTCAAATACGAGACGGTCAATAATTAACACGCTGGAAGGAACTTGGGTCTCTTCCCTTAAGCCACGTCAACGCAGTTCACTTGTAACTTGAGAAAGGTAGGACTTTGTTAGGGAGGTTTTGCTTTATTGATGCAATTCAACTCCTGCCTATTTAGAAGTAACCCATTGTTTTACATGCAGGTCGGCATTTTCTGTGATGACAGCCTTACTGTTAAAATGACCCAAAGGCAAATAATTGCCCAACACATGGGAAAATCGTAACCTTGGCAGGTTATGTGTCAAAGGGACTTCTTTTCTACCTGTCTTCATTAAAATGATTAACATTCAATCCCACAATACCTTCTTCATCGTTTTGTGATGATAAACCACAGCTATTTATATAAAGGAACAAAAGTAGAATAAGCCGGCCGTGGCAGAGACACTCATATTCTCCCCTCCGGGAAGCTCTGTTCATAATCCCTTAACTTTTTTTTTTAATTTATAGTTGTCCCTTGGTCCTGACAGTCTGTGGGCTGCCTTTTCCAAAAAGCAAAGTTCTGATCTTTCTCCTTTCTCGGTTTCTAGAATAAAGAAGGTGACACGCTGAAGGATCTGCTGAAAGCCAACGTGGAGAAGGCTGTGAAGCTGGAGGTCTACAACATCAAAACCATGAAAGTGCGCGAGGTGGAAGTGATCCCCAGCAACATGTGGGGAGGGCAGGGCCTTCTCGGAGCCAGCGTGAGGTTCTGCAGCTTCTACGGTGCCAACGAACACGTTTGGCACGTGCTGGTGAGCCGAGGGGGTGTGGCCGTGGGCTCTCCGTTGGTTGCTGAGCTTTAAACTGAGCTTGGATCTGCTTTGATTGTGTTCCGGCGTTGAGCAGGGGGTTGGACGTGATGGCCTTGTAGGCCCCTTCCAGCTTCACTTTTCTAGGGTTCTAGGATTGGACCGGCTGTTTACCCGCTGCAGGCTTCTTCCCAGTGATGGTCATTTACTTGCGGACTGTCCGTGAGAATTTTGGTCTCGGCCCCTTCCAGCTTCACTTTTCTAGGATTGGACCATCTGTTTACCAGCTGCAGGCTTCTTCCCTGAGATGGTCATTTACTTGCAGACTGCCCATGAGAATTTTGGTCTGTTGTGAACAAGGCACCCTGCTTGCTTGCCCATGCTAACTGACTGGCTCTAGCTATAAATGAGAGCAATTAAACGAATGGTGGACGTTCTACAAATAGGAAGAAGTTCCTGGGAGGTTAAGAGCTGTTTATGGGTGGGAAAGAGAGGCTTCAATTTTTTTTCTTCTCACCTCTCATATTTTCTGTTGGTATTGATGGGGGGGGGTTCCCTATTGCAAGCCATACTTGTAGGATATTAGGACAGATGCTATCTGGTTGCATGGCTTGTTTTAAGAAAATGGGACGGGAAGAGCAGGGGGGGGGTTCCCTATTGCAAGCCATACTTCTTGTAGGATATTAGGACAGATGCTACCTGGTTGCATGGCTTGTTTTAAGAAAACAAGACGGGAAGAGCAGGTTCATCCCAGAGTGCAGGACACGCAACAATGGGCTCAAGTTAAAGGAAGCCAGATTTAGGCTGAATTATCAGGAAAAACTTCTTAGCTGTTAGAGTTGTATGACAAGGGAACCCATGACCTCGGGGTGGCGAGTGCTCCAGTGCTGGAGACAGTGAAGAAAAAATAGGACCACCCTCTGTCAGATCTGCTTTGATTTGGATTTCTGCCTTGAGCAGCAGGTTGGACTTGATGACCTTATAGACCCCTTTCCAACTCCAGATGTCATTCAGAAAACGAATGCTTCCTATGTCTGTCCAGCACAGTTGAAATTGACAGGCAGCTTTCCAAGGGGTGTCAAATCTCCACAAATTCCTGCTATTAACTGCTGGCCTCCCTCCTAAGTACTAGCTGGCCAGGGATCTTGCTAGGCTTCACTTAGGCAAGATCAAGCGTGTTCAAGAGACTGGCATTTCTTGGTGGGACCAGTAACAGCGACCAAGTGTTCTTTTCAGCATTTGGTCTGATGTGAAGAATTTCTTAACCATGAGCAAGCTTGCAGGGCACCTGGGGAGAAGGATTTGCACATGGCCGAACTAACCTGTCCGTTCTGCTGCTGCTGTTGTGTTGCATTGGTGACGTTAACAGGACTGCTCCGTGTCTTACTAGGATGTGGAGCCTGCCTCCCCTGCAGCATTTTCTGGCCTGAGACCATACACGGACTACATTATTGGATCGGACCAGATACTGCAGGAGGTAAATTGGACCCTACGAGTGGGTCTGCAAGACAAGGGGAGTGGGTAGATGTGGCTATGTGGTTTGCAAGGGGGAAGCATTTTGTCCTTCCTTCCCTTCCCTTCCCTTCCCCTCTATCCCTGCCTCCCTCTCCCTTACCTTTTTCCGTTTCTCGTAGTCCAAAAGGTAACAGCAGTGACCCCATGTGGGCTGGGGTATTCTAGGAGTTTCAGTCCAAAAGGTAATTTTCCCCTCCTCCTGGATTTCAGTTCCATGCTTGTACCTACTCTCTTTTGGAGCCTGCTCGTCTTTCTCTTTCCACCCGCCCGCCTGTGAGCAGCCACATCTCTTCTTTCTTTCGGCTCCATCTATAGCATCCCCTTTTTGGCCCCATCAGTCTGGCAGATAAAAGCGACATACCTTCTCCAACTCGAGTGCCCCGTATTTTGGCAACTTCCTTGTAGGGCAAACCCTGTGTTTGGGGGGGAGACCATGGGAATGGCTGCTCATTCTCTGTGTGTCAGCTCTTTTTCGACTCAAGCTGGGGACGATGGGAGGTGTAGTTCAGGGGACGTCCCTGGGTTGGGGAGGAGTTGGTCTAAGTGACTGTGGTTCTGCAAGAGCAGGACGGTTACTCAGGGATGAAGGATGTCATGATGCGCAATTGTGCTAACGACCCAAGTCTTGTTTTGCTCAGTCGGAAGACTTTTTCTCACTGATCGAATCCCACGAAGGGAAGCCTTTGAAGCTGATGGTCTACAACACGGAAACCGATTCCTGCCGAGAGGTTTTCGTAACCCCAAATGGCGCCTGGGGTGGAGAAGGGAGGTATGGATCTCTGTGAGCGAAGAGGCACAATCCTGTCGGAGGTGCCTATTCTCCGCTTCCCGCAGGCTGATCTCTTATTCTTGTTGCTCGGTGATAGAGCAAAGCGAAAGCCCAGTGCCTTGTGATCAAGCTTTCTTCTTCTAAATCTCCTTGTACAGTTTGGGATGTGGCATCGGATATGGCTATTTGCACAGAATCCCCAGCCAGCCGGCTGCACCAAAGGGAAAAACTGAAGTGGCTGGTCCTCCTCCTCCTCCTCCTCTGCCCTCCAGAGACACACCACCCGAGCCACCAGCAAATGGCTATACAGAGGTAGGCCTTTCAGAGTTTAAAAGGATCCCCACTGCCCTTCCAACGTACCTCCCTCGTCCCCCTTCAGCTGGTAGGGCCGGGTCACTGGACTTTCTCCCGTTCCCCCCCTTTCCCCCCTTCCTCATTATAAACTGGTTCGCTCTATGAAAGTTTCAGAGCGTTCTACTACAAACCACGGAACATACAATTAAAAAAAAACAACATATAACTTGACATAATGCAGGAGAGGACATAACCGTGAAATGCATCGTAGGCTGAGCTGCACCAGGAAGCCTTGCAAAAATCATTGGTGGTTTCAGTCTGAAAGGCAAAGCCTGTGTTTGGAGAGTTGCTGTTCTTAAGAATTGCTGAAATAATGAAATAAGAACTCTTGGGATTTATGGGATAATCTGAGAGCATTCCCTGTAGAGCAGAGAAGACATAGATTGAGGACTCGGGAGCCCAGTTCAAGCCACCAGTGTGGGCTGGGCCAGACCCCAAATGGGCCAAAACTACCCATCTAAGGGGGGAGGGAAAGGTACACACACACACACACACACACATACAGTGGACCCTTGACTTACAGACGGCTTGACTTACAGACTTTTTGAGTTACAGACTTCTCTGGCTGCAAAATTTAGGTTTGACTTGCAGACTGAGATTTGACTTACAGACCAGAAAAAAACCAAAATGGAACAAAAACGGCCTGTTACGGGATTAATCGGTTTTCAATTCACTGTAGGTCAATGGAGACTTGACTTACAGACTTTTTGACTTGAGAACCGCCTTCCAATACGGATTAAGTTCTCAAGTCAAGACCCCACTGTATATACTCTCTCTCTTGTGTGTGTGTATAATACACACACACATACAGTAGTGCCTCACATTACGACGTTAATTCGTTCCAGCGAAATCGCTGTAGAATGAAAACGTAATGCAAAATAAAAAAGCCCATAGAAATGCATTAAAATCCAATTAATGCGTTCCTATGGGCTTGAAACTCACCATCCATCGAAGATCCTCCATAGTGCGGCCATTTTCGCTGCCCGTGCAGCGAGGAATCCGTCCCAGACAAGAGCAGGGAGTCATTTTTTTTAACCCAGCGGCCATTTTGAACCCACCGATCAGCTGGCCGAAAATTGTCGTTTTGCGAGAATCAGTTCCCGAAGCAGGGAACCGATCATCGCAAAGCGAAATCCCCCCATAGGAAACATCGTTTTGCGATTGCAAAACGTTCGTCGTAATGCGATTTTGTCAAACGGGGCGCTCGTCTTGCGAGGCACCACTGTATATACATACACACACACACACACACACATGTATGAGTATAAGGATAAGCACAAACTTATAGAAGGCAGCAAATAAGGGCTTTGTAGGAATGATGTTGACTAATAAAACAGAAATCTTGCACCGGCTGTATAGAGTGTTTGTGGTTTCGAAGCATGTCACGCAAAGGCACATCTTTCAAAACATTTTTATTTCAGACACCACTCGTGGCAGCTAATTCCCAAAGCGAAGAAGCAACAAACTTAGACGGTGGCAGCACTCAAAGTGCGACAGTGTACTCGGTAGAAAACTCTCTTCAGCCCCCTCCTCCTGTCCAAAGAGTCATGGACCCAGGTAATTTGTCCCCCTGTTGTCTTTTTCAGCAGGGTGGGAAATGTGCACCCTTCACAATGTGGTGGGATTGAAAGCACCATAAAGTCTTGGCCCGCATTGTAAAGGGAAGTCATTGCAGGAGTTGCAATATTGCACTATTTGGAAGGCCACACATTCCCCACTCTGGCGTCGGAATGACAAGTTATTCCTCCTATATGTTTCAGAGTTCTGAATTTTGGTTAATTTCCTTTAGCGGCACAGCAGAAGTGCAGGGAGCCACAAAACAAAATTAGCTTCCAGTTCCCCAGAGAAATCCACCCGTAGTCCACCCAGAGTAGTAGATGTACTTTTTCTCATCAGCTGGTACTTACAGGGCCAATAACTCACTCTTAAGACTTTGAAGTCGAAAGAATAAAAAGGTTTCATTACTTAACAGTTGAACAGACCTACAACAAACTGACAAAACACGACTGACTGATTTTCAGCCATAGGCCTCAACAAACTACACGGATTGCTTCTAACGGACGACGGAGAGGGAAAAAGCTCAAAAACAGAAGAGGCGGGGCTCTCTTTGAAATCAGAGGCAGGGAAGGAACTATTGGTTAATGTTGTTAGTGATTGACAGCCACCCCAGCCCAGAAAGGTCCCTTTCAGCCACACCTGCTAGAGGAAGCATGCAAGGTTGCGAAACTCCATATTCAGGGACCTAGTCCAAAAGGCTGCATCAAGAAGTGCCAGATTGTTAACCTGTGTTGATGAGGCAGATTTCTATATCATCCATTCTTTTATGGGGAGAGCAGATGTCACTAACGGGAATATTGTCCTGAATGCTGTCTTGTCCACCTTCCTGCTGTGAACATGCTCTTTCACAGCTGTCCACAAGTCTCGTGGCCTGGAATAATTGCAGAGTATCCTTCAGATTCACACTGTGTGTAGAAGCTGAAATAAAATAAGGGAGCCCTTCCAGAAGGCTCCTGTGTAGCACCTCCTTGATTTCAGGGTCTTAGGGCATAGCTGTAACTAGCTATGCCCTAACCGTAGTCTTTTTGAGAGCTTCTTCCTTATGAAACCCTTTTGATAGTGCTTTGGAGAGAGGGGAAAGTGTCATTAGGTTTATTTCACTGATAAATTATCAGATCTCCCGTTTTGTCTTTTCTCCCTGCAGGTTTCATAGACATGTCTGGGGCCGCTTTTCCTGAACTAATCGACCTGGTGAAAAAAATCGGCGTGCCATCCTCTGCGCCTCTCAACTCGGCAGCCACCGAGAGCTTACTGACTCCCAGTGGGAATCATTCCTATTTTGGTAAGCAGTTCTGAAAACCGGGTTACTTTGGATGTGTGTCTATGAAGCACAAAGCGGTCTTTATTTAAATTGATTTTTAATAGCACACCGTGATCCTGTCTCCGTCCCTGGATGTGGGAGTTAAAAGCAAAAGTAAAGGGACACACAGGATCACCACAACACTATTGGTGGCAAGATCAGATTTAGAACATTGTCAAAACCCATGATATAGAAACATTTTCCAAAAATTCAGGACTTCTATTTATGACGTAAACTACAGTACATTAAAGTATTTTATGTCATCACAAATGGGATAAATCTGGCATCTAAGATGGGTTGTTCCTTTGAATACCCTCTACAAGCATATATTTAAATTGTGAATGAATCATTGCAGGCTGTTTGTTTATTGCATTTATACCCTTGTCCTTATCTGTAAACCCCTTGTACGTTTGTAGCCTATTTGACCCCATTATTCACGCATTCTTTTATCCAGGTGTAGATTCACTACCCATGTTTTATCCAGATACCCACCAAAGAGGTTAACACTTTTAAGGCATCTGACAAAATGGATCGTAGTCCTAAAAGGTTATGCTGTAAGAAGTTTGTTAGTCACTAAGGAGCCACAAAAATTTTGTTTTTTGCTGCAGCAAATGCTACTCCCCTGGAAATATCTACTAGAGCCCCAACTCACCCCTTACAACAGAACCCCAAAGAGCCATATTTGAAGATAAAGGTGTAAAGTTTAATTTGGGAAATTATTTCCGTCTGAGCCAGGCTCTCAGGTGCTGAATATTCATGCTTGCAGAACATAATCTCTCTTCCCTTTCTTCTGCCACGGTCTTTGGAAGATCTTCTAACTTGTATCTTATCATTTGGTTGAACTGTAGCTTCATGGACAATTTGTCCTGTAAACTGTTGGCCACTTGAATAAGCACTGACCTGGCAGTAAGACAGAGGAGTCTGCCTATTAAGCCAACAGCTGAGATGCAAAATGACTGGTTGCTCTACTTCACTGGTTCTTAACCTTGGGTTACTCAGGAGTTTTGGACTGCAACTCCCAGAAGCCTTCACCACCAGCTGTCCTGACTGGGGTTTCTGGGAGTTGCAGTTCAAAAGCATCCGAGTAACAAAGGTTAAGAACCACTGCTCTACTTAGTCCTTTGCTGCTCTCACAATCAGCTCACCAACAACTCCGTAAACCCAGGTTGGGAGAAAAAGCATTGCTCCCTTGGCCGGTTGAGTGTTTTGCTAGGGAACATGAATTGAAACCTTAAAAACGGGGCCACAATGTGAAAAACTGAGTTTTTCACCATGAGTTAAGGTAATACTTGAGGTTCGACAGTAGCCGTGTTTTTGGTTTCATCTGAGCCTGAGCACAATCCAGTGTTGGATTTCTGTTGGTGGAATTTGTGTAAGAAAAAGGCGAGGTAAAGACGTTTGTGGCTGTGCAGTGCCTGCCCGGCGTTAGATTTAGGCCCATCTTTTCAGAAGAGGAAGTGTTGACTGTTTGGTGCGATCCTGCTAAATCCACATTCAATTTGGGTATTTTCAGAGCAGGCCCCTGTTCCAGTCTTGGAAGATTCCGCGTCTTACCCAGAGGGCTTGAACCATCATTCGGAGTCAGAGGAAGGGTTACCAGCCGTTTCTCCTTTACCTCCTCTTCCGATGGATATCTCTATAAACGCAACCCCTAGCGCCGGAAACAGCATTCACGGAGCTGTTCCGCTCTCAGATGGGACTGAGCAAGCTGCCCAAACGCCACAGCCTGACAGCGATGACAAAACAGCAGAAGAACTGACAGAAGAAGTGGCACCAAATTAGCGCTCAAAAGGGGGTGTGCTTCCAACCTGCTGCTTTCAGGATATTAATTCTAGGAAATCTGGCTGTGTGATACCTTCTGGGGCTGCCTGGCCTCCGACAGCCTCGTCCCCAACGTTGGCGGTTGCCTCGCTTGGCCATCTTGTGTAACTTTTGCAGAGCGTTGCCACTGACCATTTGATTCGCAAAACAAGTTTTTAAACAAAATGCTGCGTTATAGGAAAGTTTCCTGTCTCACTCAACACCATAACCAAATAGCAAAATGGGTAGCTGTGGGCATGAAGCTAATGTAATAAGCACAATACTTGAATTGTAGTGGTTTTAACCTCCTTTTGGAGGTACGGTTTTTAAGTGTGTCTCTTGTTTATTTCCTGAAGTTGGTTCTGCATCTCAGAGAATACAAGTATAGAAGTCATTTTATTTTTTTTAGTATTTTTAACAAGGTTATTTAATTTCTTCACAAATACCATTCATACACTTTGGCCCCAGTAGCTTTGACATGAAGCTAAAAACCTGACTCGTATTGAAAAAGGCCTGTTTAATCTTTCTTTAGATTCCAAGGCCATGATCCAGCCCTATATACAAGCAAGTATGTTGTATGTATGAGTCAGGCTGTTTGCAGGAATGATATCCTGTGTAGATCTGACTTATTCTGGAGCAGCCTTTCCATGGATATGAAGTGCACTTTTGGCCACCTTGCTAATATATTTGCTGAAGTAGGAAACAATCCCATTAGGTAACTAATTTGCCTGCAGCAGGACCGGATTATACCTTTAGGTGACATTGTTCTATGGAACAGCAGTTTTTTCCTATTTAATTACTTAATCAAAAGCAGAGAATCTCCTCCTCTTGGTAGTTTAGGTGTTTCTCAAGGTTTCCTCCTGAGCCTTTGTAAACTTCTGAAGGCTTAGATCCATAGCATAAATAGGGTGAAATTCCATTAATTAACTCTGCAGTCAGTAGCTGCATGTTCTCATTCCAGCTACATACATGTTGCTGAGCAAATAAACCTATGGCAAATAGCAGGACCAACCTCTGATGGAAGGTTCTTCGTTCCTATGTGGATTTTGTTCATTGATCTCTAGCTCTTCTGGGAAGGGAGTATGATTTCCTTTGAGATGAAGAATGGAGATAATTCTGCTCTACCATTCAGCACCATTCGTGTGTCTTCTGAAATGTTTTTCTAATGAATCGCTTTTGATTCTGTGGTTTTATTTCCTGACAACTAGAAACAAACCATATTTAAAGGCCAATGCTTGCTTTTGAACAGTTCTCTCGTAATTATTATTCAGCCAGATGTTTAACACATGACTGGTCTGCTTTGTATTGGAATCGTCTCTCTGTTCAACTAACCATCCTTGTATATTACTGGTTCCAGCAGCAAGATAATACATAGGTACAAATACCTTTATATATTTCACCAGTTTGCATTGTCCCAACCTCATCTCGCCAAACTGTGTCATACATGCACAAAAAGTGAGGTTTCTTGATTTTATTTTATTTTTAATTGAAGGCAAAAAGCTCAGTTTTAAGGCTAACTTTTTAAAACTCCTAAAACAGCAGGTTCATACATGTACCTTAAGGATATACTGCAGCATTTTGCTCTGAGGCTCTCCATGTTCATATTTGTTTAGCTATACTAAATGTTTTTCCTCCTGGGTTGGTGGTATTCTATACATCTTTTTTCCCCATGATGCAACGCATCTTAATCTGTCACATAGTACGTAGGTGTTCCCCTTGACATTTAGTCCAGTCATGTCCGATTCTAGGGTGTGGTGCTCATCCCCGTCTCCAAGCTGTAGAGCCAGCGTTTGTCCGAAGAGTTTCCGTGGTCATGCGGCCAGCGCGACTAGACAACGGAACGCCATGACCTTCCCACCGTGGTGGTACCTCTTTATTGACTCGCATTTTTACATGCTTTCAAACGGCTAGGTTGGCAGGAGCTGGGACAAGTGATGGGAGCTCACTCCGTCACGATTCGATCTTACGACTGCTTGGTCTTCTGACCTTGCAGCACAGAGGCTTATGCGGTTTAACCCACAGTGCCACCACGTCACATAGTAAAGCAACCTTCAAATTTGGGGCTTTTTGAGGGACTGGGGTCTTTTAAAGGAGAAAGGCAGGATAAAAGTGTTTTAAATAAAATAATAACTGTTCTGCATAGGAAAGTGCTTCTGGAGCTGCAGCCTTGTAAGGGAAGAGTTCATCCATGCTCTGTCTATATGTACCCTGTGCGGATATGAGACCATTTGCCACAAAAAAAGATGGCTACTAAGCAGAGCTGCATCTGTTGCTTCAGAGAGACAATCTACCCTATTCCAGGATCAGCTGCTCCTTTGCCTGTGGAACCTGGTGACCCTGGATCAATCTCACTCCACATTTATATTGACTGGCAGAAGCAAGGCCTCTTCACAGGCCTATCTCAAAAGAGATTGAACCTGGGATCTTCAGCATGCAACAAACAGGCCTCCAGTGAGAGAAAGCAGAGTCGTGCTTTCTATCCTGCCTTGAACATTTTTGAAGTGGAACAATGGGGGACCCTAACGCATGGATGGAGAATTTGGGGCTTTCTCTCATCACGGCTGTTCCAGTTGGGGCTGACGGCAGGTACAATCCAGCAACACCTGGAGGGTCAAAAGTCATCCATTGGTGCTCTAAAAGGATTATGTGCATTTACATCTGGGCAAGAGAATCTTCAGCACAAGGACAACACTGCATATCATCTACACATGAGAGCAAGGCAACAGGAACCTGTCAGAATTTCAAAGTTTTGACCCAAGTACAAAGTCACTCTCTGAACTATGCATGGCTTTCCCATCCCAACCACACTTGTTTTTTAAAGATGATGTACAACATGCCACTGTTCCAACAGACACACAGCCTTCGCGAATACATAGACACACAACATGTTATATTTTCTGTCCCAAACGTTAGAACCGCTTATTTTGGGGAAAAAACAACTCCAAGCTGCTTAAAATGTTAGCTAAAGAGTTTTATTTCTATACAACATTTGTCCTTTTGGCATTGCAGGCCCTCTGTCAATCTTTCCTGAAACTATACGGCTTGAATTTATAGAAAATGAAACTTAAAATCTTGGCTGATTTAAAAACAGAACAAGAACGGAAGGGAACAGAATATAATTAAAGGTACTTTCCATAGAAACATGAAGGAGAGCACAAAAGTCAGAATCAAGGTCTTGTAAGGAGTCACAATTTAGGACAATTTACATTTCAATTCAACCAATGGATTCATCAAAGTTCACTAAAATGTGCAGTGCAGCACGGATGTGGCCATCAAGACATCTGTACACACACACATGGGATTTATAAAACGGATGACATTCAAGATGGAAAAAAGATGCATGCAAGTTTTATTCTGAACCAGCTGAAGCAGTGACATGATGCTTGAAACGCAGTTGGTCTTGGGGGTCCTGAGCCAACCCAGATGTTCTATTTGCAGCACAACAGTCACTTGGACAACCTGATATTTTGTATAAAAAATCAGCACTACACAGATACTCCGCACACCGAGACAAAAAAAAAGGCCAGAGGACAGACTGTCCAGAAGGTGCTGCCATGATGCTCATTTTGTGTCTCTGGCACACAGTGGAGGGGGAGAGGAGTGGAAGAGATGAAAGACTAAAGGGATAATTTTCAAGGATAAAACTTTTTTTTTTTTTACAGCACAGTTTGACATTTTCTACCAGTGCGGGCACAACTCTTGTTTCTGGCACCGGCAGCCAGCAGACTGTGTGCTTGCAAGGTGCTGAACTATCGAAGTTACTAAAGTTGTTCCCATACTGAAAACACATTGATGGAACCAGGACTTCTATCAGCTCTCCTTATAATTGAGCAAACCCAAGATGTTCTGTTGACCACAGTTAAACATCCAAAAGCTACCACACAGAAGGTAGGCGAGAAAGTTAATGGGAGGGATGTGCAGCCTCTTGAAAAGGCACTTGTGCTTCTGTTGCAAATAGGAGCCGTCTTGCACCCTTATTTCATCATCAAGATGCTTTATGTTCTGGTTAATACTTTTAATTTCAAATGCAGCCTTTCTTGCTGGGGCATGAGAAGCCTCCCCTCTTAACTTTTGTAACAAGCTAAACCCTACTAAGACTAGAATGAGACGATGTAAAAACCTGTGAAATGTTTTTAGAAACGGTGGAAAAGCCAAGCTGCATACAGCTTGCAACGTGAACAAAATTATCCAAAAATACATATTTAAAAACCACTGGAGGGGAAACCTGCAAATCCTTTTAGCTGTCATAACTGTGGGTAAGCATTGCAAAAGGTCTAGTTTGCCAATACATCAAAACAAAGAGCACAATTGCAAATTGTGATCTGTATGCCACCTGAAAAAACGGGGAGAGGGAGGAGAACAGAATGTACGAGTTATAGTTTTAAAATTCTAGACAAAGAGGTTGAAATATTCCACCATGATGCACTGCACCATTGTACTGACCAAAATTCAAAAACTGAAAGACTATCACCACCGAGTCTAACAGAGTTAACTCCTTCAAGCTTACATACTGGAGACATTGCTACTCAACTGTACAACAGATTTTTTTTTCTTTTAAGTCTATTTCTGTGGGGGGAAAATGGCCAAAACATACTACATGGAATGTATGAACAAAGTACAGCGCATGCAGATTTTCTGTTGTTTGTTTTGTGTTTTACACTGTGAACGAGTTAGCAGCAGGGCTGAGAAAGTGTTTTCGTATCAGGCTTGAGTGGATGAAGGAAATAAAAAACCCAAGTAAGACCCCCCCCTTCAAAGACATCTGCACTGGATCCTCTGGTCTCTCTGTACACCTCACACCAGGAACCATTCAAGGGCATCTCCTGTCACTCTCACTTGTACCTTGATAAGGATAGACTTTAGTTTAGGTCATACAGATTTGTCTATATTACATATTTATTAGTCACTTCAATTCAAGTAGACTCTGGTCTGCACGGAGGCATTAGAAGTATCAGATCTACCTTAGGGTTTCAGTAGGCTTCTAGAGCACTACACCTGGAACCAGTACAGGAAGCTCAAGTAAGTTCATGACCAGTTAGCTCTGCTGCTTGGCTCACGTTGATTTCTGGCGGTAATGGAGCGTCAAGTCCCCACCGCTCTTCCATATGAAGTGTTTGACGGTTCGAAGGTCCATATTTGGATCCAAAACCTGCCCAAAAGAAATTGGAAGAGGGTTTTTCGAGGGTTGGGTGGGGAGGCGGCCAATTCACATCCCTCTAAATTATGATTTCTTAGCAAATATATCCAAGCTTGAAAAAAGCAAAGCAGAAGAGAATACCCCCATATGTGTCTTAGTAAAGCTGCAACTGATTCCTGGTCTGACACACACATGCATCCTGTATGAATATCCACTAGTTTGCTATGCAAAAGGGAAAGATCTTTGCTTCCAAACTAGTTTGCTATGCAAAAGGGAAAGATCTGTGCAGGCAGATACCCGAAGCATAGAGTCTTTGCTTCCATGGGCTCTTACAGGGAAAGCCTACACCTTGCACCACCTCAGGACTGCAGCCCAAAGTTTTGGACTGGGAAATCTTATGTTTTGCTTAGTAAAACATTTCATAATCGGCAATTATTCAGATATATCGGAACTGATGAACTTTGCAAAGAAAGCAACAATATCCCCTCTGTGTTAAGTCTCTTATTACCTAAAGCAAGAGAGCACCTCAAACCCTGAGGCAGTGTAAAACATCTTTTAACTTTGCAAAGAAAGCAACAATATCCCCTTTGTGTTAAGTCTCTTATTACCTAAAACAAGAGAGCACCTCAAACCCTAAAACATCTTTTGGAGAAAAGAAACCTGATTTGATTTCCAAGTTAGCAACAGGAAGTAAGAAACCAATGTTCCAGTAATCCTCACCCACTCCCCCTCTCCATTTCCCAAATACACAATATACCTTTTTTGGAAAAAAAAATTTTTTTTTTGGAGTCTGAATCCTAGAACACCCAGCCCTCTTGCTGGCTGGGGGTGATTCTAAAAGCGTTTGTCTTGACCACAGACTTCCCCCCCCCGTTTTGTGGGGGAAAAGTGCGTCTTATGGTGCGAAAAATACAGTACCTTTTTTGGGAAAAAAAATTTTTTTTGAGTCTGAATCCTAGAACACCCACCCCTCTTGCTGGCTGGGGGTGATTCTAAAAGCGTTTGTCTTAACCACCACCACCTCTACGTTCCGCCAAGTCAAGTCCCTATGATACGAAGAGCCTCATTTCCGCATCTCCTTTTCCAAAGGAAGTGGGAGTGGCATGCGTAATTGTTCAAGCCCGTTCAGTCCTAGAAAATACCTGGTCCTGGCACAAGAGTTCAATCTTCTCCTCTGCTAGAACAGCAATATCCTCCTCTTTTTCTTGTTCCCCAGCTTTTTCGTTATTGGAAGAGCTAGTTGTCTGCGACTCGTTGTCCAGATTTATTATTTTTTCATAAACATGCTCCATCACCTTCCGGACTTGCAACATGTCACTGGCCGACAGTCTATCCCTGTGGGAACAAAGTGGACTTAAGAGTGGAGACAAGGAGGCTTGGCTGATTCCAGCACCTCCTCCTGCATTCCAGGTAACTTAACCAAGAGCATTAAAAAAATCATTGTAAAACTTACTTCTTTAATGTTTTTGCTCCGGAAGAGGAATGAGGTTGGAGGTAGAAAGGAATCTTATTGAATTTTGGCATATTTTTCTACAAAACAATAACAGAAAAATTAAGAACCATTAGATTTTACTTCCCAGCTTGTATAGCAAGTGCTTCTAACCCATCACATTCAAGAAGTATCCCTAGGTGATTTTTTTAATCTTGGTTTTTACTAGCTAATGAATTACACTGCAACAGATCAAGGATGTGCTAGGCTGGGAACATTGGTCCTGTGGTCTCAGGGCTGGGATCAAAGTACTACTTGTGTCCCTATGACAGCTCATCTCCAGTTTTAGGAATCACAGCTGCTTGCACTGAATCCAAAGGTGCACCTAAGGTTCCCCATAGATTGTTTGGTCCTTTGCCGTGCACCGCAGTGACACATTATGAGATTAGTAAACTCTGTGGCATCACTGGTATGATCCTGACATCATATATGATACTTGCATTTTAAAAAAAGTAAGTTGTCAGGTAATTCTTCAGGACATAGCCAGTAACATTCATACAACTTTTAAGTCTAGTGACTGAAATTGACGGTGCACGTTAAGTTTGCTTTCCCATAATGACTCATGGAAAGTGGCATCACAGCAAAAGATGTCCACACTTAATGAAGCAGGTGAATGATTTCGTACCTTAAAACATTTTCCAAATGCCCCTTAGGTGTAAGGGAAAGACAGAATGCAATCATGCCCCTTTGCAACTTATCTTAAAAGTAAAAAGAAAACAGTCTGCCTCTCTTGCCTCCGCAAGGACAAGAAGCACTTACATCCACAGTGATGTCAATTACCCATTGTGGCACAGTTTCGTTAAGGAGCATCGATTCAGTTTCACCACCAGAATCCCGACATAATAACCTAAGCAGGAAGAGTTTTGGAAGCTATTAAGTAAGGAGTTTAGCATCAGGTAAGGAATCTTTGAGCTCAATAATGCAGAAGAACAAGGACTGAGTAGATGCAAACAAGGAAATACAACATAAAGCAGCAAGGTATTAAGGTATGCACACACTTTTGTCATATGAAGACAGATCCTATATTTAATGGAGTTAGCCCATTATTTATCCTGATTTTGTATGTGGTGAGGAGGGATGCGAGGGGGAAAACACCAAGAGTAGCATGTTAACAAAGCCTCTCAACTCCTTCTGAGAGGCGGTACCCAGCTCACCCATCGTGTGCATGTGGAGAATGTCAGCCACCCTTGATGAGAGATAACACCTTTACCCATCACCTTCTTGCCTGTGTTTCTGATACAGCTCTTAAGTGTCCAGAGGGCACCCAGCTACATTTTCTCAATGACCCTTAAAATCTCCCTTGTGCATTCAGAGAAGAGTGTATGTTCAGAGCACAGCTAAAATCTGAGCCACCACCTTCCTTGCTCACGGCCAATCTCTCGGCTACATCCATTATCGGAAAATCAATCCCCCCCCCAGTTCCTTCTGCACAGCCTGTGGCAAAGCTACACAACCCAGCCAGCGCGCGCAGCAGGACACGGCCAGCAGCTGCCCACCCTCCACAGGATTACTAATTTTTTGTACCTGAACAAGGTGCGTCCTCCAGCTTCACCAAAAATAACTGGGGTGTGTGGTGGCACTTGGAAGTACCCATTTCCTTTCTGCACTCTGTTCTCCTGCTCACCATTCACTATGAAAGGGCAGGAGCAAAACACAACAAAGTTGACATCGTAAAGCCATACAGTTGTACACTTTTTTTATAATGGCCCATTTTCGTTACAGGACAAAAGCATCAAAGTATTTAACAAGCATCAGAGAAGCTTTCAGGGCCTACCTAAATATGACAATAAAGCCCACATGAGATTCCCCTGTATGGGTTGGTATTACAGCCCACTTACGGGGAGGTCTAAGCCTTCCCTCCTGCACCACAACCCTGGGGGGGGGGAATCACCCAATCACCCACAAGCCTTGCAAATGATAACACCTCTGGGCAGCATCTATGCAAACTCCCTTCTATAGATATTTATAGTGTGCAATCAAGACTTGCTTGAAAACATTGCAGGAATAGGCAGGCTTAAGCCGCGGAATTGTTTTTAAGTAAGAGGAGCATGAAATTAAACCCTCAAAGGTCTTACAAATTGGCCTTCAATCATCTCATTGGTCCGAGGCAATCTTCCCTCTAATTTCTGCTAATGCTGCCCAGGCCTCCCTCCCCCCCCGGGCGTGTGTGAGTTTTTTTTTTCCAGCAGCAACACTGATCTGCCTACGTAGGACTGGTGCAACACTGCACACACGCAGCTTAGAGGGAACGTTGGTCAGAGGTCTAGAAGGATCAAGAAAAGATTCGTGTGGATTACGGTTTCCATTCACCTAACAAAGCGTACTGTACATGAAGAATAACAATCAATGATGGCTTGAGATGCACACAAGATTTTAATATTCTCACGCTGCACTGAGAAGCACTCACCGTGGTTCATTTCATTTTCTTCTTCATCCATAGGATTGATGTGTGTTCTTGGCCAATACTCCAAGAGAGCCTGCAGTAAAAGCCCTCCAAGATTTACTGCATTTTGTAAACAAAAAATGAAATTAAAAAGAACTTATCACCAATGTTCCCATATATTTAAAAGTTTGGAAAGAGACAAATTTTTATTCAGGATGTTATTAGCCATGGTGACAAGCCAAGTTGGTTCCAACAAGCCATGCAACCTGTATCACTCAGAATGTGTTTCTTGAAAAGCATTTATAGCTCCGTGACTTCAGCTGCTTTTGAAACTAAAGGGATTTTCAAAAGCAGTCTGCTTTTTAAACAGCCCTTGGATCTGAGCCTGTGTTCATTTTTGATCTCGCCTTGAACACGTTCGTCCAAATGAGCACCTCTTCAACAGAAGACTTGAACGTACAAACCAGCTTGCAAGGTAAGGAAGCTTCCAAGCCATGCAGAGGAATGAGAAGGTTGCTACAAGGGTTGACAAAAATCGTGGATCAACACAAATCTGGCAATTAGCACGAATTAAGCTTCTAAAACCAAAACAGAGCAATTAAAAAAAAAAACCAGCAACCTTCTCAACCCAAGACAAAATGTCATGGTGGTACTGCTAAACTCCAAAGACACGGTTACAAGCAACTGACATACTGTTAAAATGATAACATTTGCACTTTCCAGCAAGAGGGTAAAATACAAAAGAGGATTTCTCTTTTTATGAAATAATTTCAGCACACTCACATTTGGGATCAGATCCATCTGGACTGCTAAACCCAGCATCTTTTGCTGAGACCCAAGCGGCAAAGCAGTCACTCTCATCTAAAGTAATTGTCAACATCTGTCAAAAGAAGACCATTGGGAGGAATGCAAATGAATACCGCTTTAAGATCAAAAGCTTACTTTGCATTCAAGCATCCACACCGCATTGACAAAGCATGCTTTGATTCTATGGTAAGATTATCCGCAGATCACAACATTAGTCGAAACCACAGTTACATTAACATCTGGGTATTACTTCTGACGGGCCATACAATGAGATCTTTTTGCAATTGTAGTTATATTTTTTAAAAAATTAGTAAACATTCACCAACATGCTAAATACAAAATAAGGCTATGCCTCAATTTAAACTCCTCCCCAACAGGAAAAGCACAATGAAGTTCACACCTGCATAGTTAAAAATTCAGTATTTTTTAACGCTTTCCTAAGCACTCGGAACTCATAACCCACCCTCTTGCCCCAAGGGAAGGATGGACAAATACATATCCTACACAATGCAACTGTCTACAAAGCTACTTTTTCGGGGGGGGGGCTGGCAGTCAAATTATGGGGTGTAGTGGCAATGCTCCTTTTGGCCACCAGGCCTGTGATTTCTCCTGTTCCTTGCATAACCTTGTTCATATTGGGGAAAATGCTGATTTCTACTCACAACAGGGTGCAGCCCCTGCTAAAAGAGAAAGGCCCGAGGTGCGAGTGTAAAAAACTTACTCCCCAAATCTGGGTCACATGATATTCTATGCATTTTACTAGCCAACATAATAAAATCTTATTTACTACTGCAATGGCTACTTTTAAGTTCTTGTGATAATTATAAAGTTGACCAGTTTACTCCCACTCCCTAGTATTTGAAAAGTATCACGGAGCAGGGGAGGGGGGGAGCATGTACAGAGATGTCAAGCATCTCAGAAATGCAGAAGGGACAATTTTAGACCTCTGCTCTCAAATTCCATATCTAAACATTACATTATTCATTAAGTTAATAATTTTAAATATACAGTGGTGCCTCGCTTAACAGGCGCTCTGTTTAGCGATGAAACTGCATAGCGACGAAGATTTTGCGATCGCTTTTGCGGGTAAACAAAATGGCCGCCCGCTGTGCTTTTGCACGGATTCCTCACTTAAGAGGCAGCAAAAATGGCTGCCGTATGGAGGATCTTCGCTTTAAGGTCAGTTTTAAGCCCATAGGAACGCATTAAACAGGTTTTAATGCATTTCTATGGGATTTTTAAATCACATAGCGACAAAATTGTTTAGCAACGTTGCTATGCGAGGCACCACTGTAACTGCTTGTTTTTGATTAATCCCAAATATTGCTCACCCACAGACAATACAATTATACACTCCATTAAATTGTCTGCTGGTTGCAGCGGGGCAGCTAAAGAAGAGAGACCACATGTTAATCCTCTCCCCATACTTCTGTTGCTTTTTCCATCAGTTGTCTTTAAAGGAAAACAAGGAAGCAAAGCAGGAAATTGCCAATCCTAGATAAAGGAATGTGGGAATGTCTGCGAACAATGGATTTTGTTTTCTTTTTTAAAACATGTCATTTGAGTAGATGTCACTGAACAACAAGGATTGTTCTTGAACATAAGATTTCAGACTAATATGTACTCAAAACCCTCTTAGGGAAAATAGCCATATTCCAGAGACATTCCAGGAGATAAAGTCATCTTTAAAAAAAGCAAGTGGAATCCATTGTCATATTTCAACATTAATAATTGGAGTAAGACTTAAATGCTTCTCGCTTTTTAAAAATCTGGTTCAGCTGGACTCTGACTCTAAATACCAGACTAATAACGTGTTTTTCATGTATAGGAGGAGCCAGTGTCCTCAGGGGTTAAAGTACTAGATTAATATTACCTAAAGCTAGTATCATCCAACTCAGCAACCAAGCTCTCGGTAGGACCCTGGGCCAGTCAATATCTCTCGGCCAAATCTACTTCATACAGGTCGGAGAATAAGTAAGGGAGGGAAAGAGAGAACCAGGTTACGTTGCCTCGAGCAACTAGGAAGAGGGATGGGAAACAGAGATAACGAAACAGAAAAGCACATATCATGTAAGGTCAAATCTCTAATCTTATGGAAAGGCACTGCAGTGTCCTTACCCCAGTTTTTAAGTCTACTGAGAACCAATTTGGCACATACACCATTTTAAACCGTTTCTTAATTTCTTCTTCAAAATCCATTTTCCCAAGGTCTTCTACTTTACAGGCCTGTATTTTAAGACAGCAGAGCAAAGAGTGATTATCCTGCAGAGAAAAACAAGGCATCAAGTGCAGAACAACTTATTCACATTCCTAGCTGAAGAGCTCCGTTTGGGATGCTCCCCTGCTCCCTGTTTCTCGAATTCGATGCCAATGTGGCTCCTAAACAGCAGCAAGGAAGATGAGCTCTCTCAATGCTCCAGCAATAAGCAAGGGGCATCATTATGGCTGTCTCTCTCCAGGAGCTGCTCAAGAGGAGCTAAATGCTCCAGCAATAAGCAAGGGGCATCATTATGGCCAAATGCCAGACAGGTATGCCATGCACTTTGGGGACAGAGGAAGATTACAGATCACACTTTGAACACCCTGTCTGACAAAGGATTAATGAATTCAGGCTTAACGGATTAAACGAGCAACTACTTTTCTTTAACAAGCATTCATGTAGGAATATCAAGGAGCATGAACTATTAAGTTGCAAAACTGCCAAAAGAGAGCCATAAAAGGATCACATCCTAAATGTTATCAGCCAGCCTCAGAAGTGTAATATTATTTGTTTGGAATAGTGGGTGCATTTCATGGAGACACTGATCAAATAATGGCTGTGGTGGGCGTGGCCAATCACAAAATGCCCATTTCTCTCAAGAGGCAAAATGGAAACAAAGTAGTACCTAAGTGGAAGAATATGGGCGCATGTTTCTTATACTAAGTACAAAACTGGAATGGAATCCAAATGCAAAGCCACTGCACTGAATCATGTTTTCTGGTCCAACATCCCATTTCACTGAGGGCAAACAAGTGTATTGCACTTTTAGGCCACGCCAATAAGCAGAGTGCTCCGGATGGCGTGTGTGTGCTACATTAAAACATAAAATATAAATGCTCATGTTGAAATTGGTCCAGACTATCAGGCAAAGGCAGAAGCTGAGCGATAAATGCCAAAATTGTTTAGTTGCTCCCCCCAAAGAACAAATTAGGCAAACTGCATCTCTGTAGAAGGACACAAAGGCAAAACACGAGGGGAATATAAACATTAGGGAAAACATCCTGATGGTAGGAGTTTCTGGGATGGCCACTGCTTCATTGGCAGGCTGGACAGCCACCACTCAGGGATGCTTGAGAGGGGGAACTCCAGTACAGTGATGCCTCGCTAGACAATCGTAATCTGTTCCACTGAAATCGCTGTTTAGCAAAATCGTCATCTCGCGAAAAGCATTTCCCCATTGGAATGCATTGAAACCTGTTTAATGCGTTCCAATGGGGAAGAATCGTCATTGTCTAGTGAAGATCGGCCATAGGAAAGCCACTTTGCAAACCACCGATCAGCTGTTTAAATCGCTGTCTTGCAAAGCTTAGGTCCGGAAAACACCTGTTTGCGAGCACAGAGGGAGCTGTCAAAATCGTCATCTAGCAAAAATCGTTTTGCGAAGCAGGGACCAAACATTGTCCAGCGAAATTCCCCCATAGGAATCACTGTTTTGCAAATTGCTATAGCGATTGCAAAAAGTAAATGTCTAGGGGAAAAACTGTCATGCGGGGTAACTGTCTAGCGAGGCACCACTGTATTGGCAGCAGATTGGGTGAGGCGACCCTTGGTATCTCTTCCACCTCTGCAATGGGAGGATCTACCCCTACCCAAGGCAGCACTGGGAAAAATCTCTCTCACTCCCCACCGGCCAGAAGCTTCCCCAACCCTCTCTAGCTAAGGATCGGCACAATGACTACTTTGCAGCCTTGCTAGCTTCCCAGGAGTTTTTAAATTATTTTAAAGAAATCTTTAAAAAAAGAAAAACCATATGGAATAAACAGCCCGGCAAGTGCTAAAGGAAGCATATGTGGGCTTGCTGTAGCCCATGGGCACCCCAGTGAGGACTTCAGAGCTGCCATATACAGAGACCCAAGAAATTTGAAAGAAACCAGTTACATATATTTGTCATTTCACGTTCACTTACTTTTAACACATCCCAGTAGGCCACATTGTTGTTGGTATCTTTGGTTAATATGTGTCTTTTGTCATTGAGAATGTGGCACTGAATAATACTAGCACCCCCTTAGCAACAAGAGAACAAAGAACCAGAAATTAGACAAGCCATGCATATTTAGCACATACCAAAAACATGTGTGGAAACTGCAGTCCCAAATAAAAGAAAGGATTTTGCATCATATCCTCATTGTTTTTTTGTTTGTTTGCTTCTATGTAAACTAAAACACAACAAGAGGAATCTATGTTTTGCAGGTCTAGAAACATTCTAATGGATATTTTTTACGCAATCTGTCTACAGTAGGCCAAACCTGTCTGGCTTCCCAAAGTTGGTAGTTTCTCATAAAAAGAGATACATTGAAACCCAATTTTTTTAGTAAATCAGAGTGAAACTTTGTTCACCTCTTGCACGTAGTTTCTATTAGAGAACACCCAAGCCCTCAGACTGGAGCTTCTGCACTCTGCGAGTACTCCTTTATTTTACTTAATTTCATCTTTGATTTTAGATAATAAAAGTGCTGGTCCTTTAGGACAAGATGAATCAATGAGAAATATTTCTGATTTCACAACAATAATTTCACACAATAAAAGGAATCCTGTTTCTCACAGTTGAATGCCTGAAATGATGGCTATTTGATAAGTAAGGGGATAGTGAGCTCCATTGAGTTCTAGTTCTAAAAACACATTCTTGGATTCAGAATTCTTTAACTCTAAAAGTTATTTCTTTTGCAGCAGGCTATGGCTGGTGGATCTCAGAGTTTGGGCAAAATGAAGTAGCTTTCCAGAAGCCTGAAATCAGCCTTACTTTTACAGAAAAGACTAATCACTAGAGCTAGGCACAAACCACTTGAACCATCCGTTCCTGCTCGTCCTCCGTGCGAACAAGTGTCCGGTGTTTTCCAGCCCCACCTCCTCCAGCAGCTGCCCACTTAAGAGGCAGGCGTCCCAGCTTCCACGCCCCACCTCCTCCAGCAGCTGCCCACTTAGACGCAGGTGTCCCAGCTTCCACGCCTCCGAATGGGCGGCTGCCAGAGGAGGTGGGGCTGGTAGGCGCCAAGACCTGCTTGGCCAAAGGACAAGAGAGCACGGTTCATGCCCACCTCTACCAATAACCACCAAGCTGCTGCAAAAGACTAGACGTGGAAATCTTACTCGTTTTCCTATTCATTCTTATCCCTGCCAACTCCAAAGTCAACATTCCCAAGTAACCTCACCTTTAATAACTTGGTCAGGCTGTGTACACAGAGGCGTGATTGGATTGGTACAGTCGTTGTCATAATCTCCTGAAGCTCTGAAGTTATGGATTCCCTTCAAAGTCTGGAAAGCAGGAGGAGAAAAAGGGGCAGGGTATAGTTATGGATTCCCTTCAAAGTCTGGAAAGCAGGAGGAGGAGAAAAAGGGGCAGGGTACCTCGATTCAACTCTGTGACACGAACACAGCTTTCTTACTTTTCTTTCAAGGCGCCTAGGTTACTTGGTAAACAAATTGGTTCAAAAATGAGTTGTAGCTCGATTCAACTGAATGCCATCTAGTCCACACCCATACTGACAGAACTATCTTATCCCTTCAAAGTCTGGAAAGCAGGAGGAGGAGAAAAAGGGGCAGGGTACCTCGATTCAACTCTGTGACACGAACACAGCTTTCTTACTTTTCTTTCAAGGCGCCTAGGTTACTTGGTAAACAAATTGGTTCAAAAATGAGTTGTAGCTCGATTCAACTGAATGCCATCTAGTCCACACCCATACTGACAGAACTATCTTATTTAGTCATCTTTACCTCTTGGCCTACATGAAAGCCCATGAACATTTACAGGCTGCTTTAAGGGTATGAGAATAAGCGAAGCGGAGGTAAAAGTCAATGGAACACACATCACAATACGTAACACATATTTATACTGTATATTTTGGTACCATGAAGAATTATTTTTATAGACGTAGGATGCAGCAGTTCTGTTCAAGTAAGACTAATTGGGGCAGGCCTGTTGAGCTTCCAAGGTTGTATATCAATGGGCAAACGAGCACCTTTTTGCAAATACAGTGGTGCCCCGCATAGCGACGATAGTCCATTCCAGGAAAATTGTCGCTATCCGGAATCGTCACTATACAGGGCAACAAACCCCATAGGAACGCATTAAAACACATTTAATGCATTCCTATGGGGGAAAAACTCACCACTATGCGGAAATCCTCCATCCGGCTGCCATTTTCGCTGCCTGGTAAGCGAGGAAAGGGCGTGAAAATGCTGTGGGCGGCCATTTTGGAACCACCGATCAGCTGTTTTCTAAACATTACAATGCGAAGATCGGTAAGCGAAACGCTTACCGATCATCACAACGTGATGTTTAACCATTAAAAACATCGCAATGCGATCGCTTTTGCGATTGCAAAATGCGGAACGCTATGTGGATTTGTCGTTAAACGGGGTGCTCGCTATGCGGGGCACCACTGTATTTCTTTTTCTTTCTTTCTTTTTTTGTAAAAAAAAAACAGGGAGAGGGGAGTACAAGCCTAATGCAATTCTTACCCATTTATTCACAGATGATTTAGTTGTTGCGACCCAAAGCGCTGGAGGTGGATCAGCTGACCGGTCTAGCTCCATCTAAATATACACAAAACCAAAGGTTGGAACATATTCCATCAGTAACAAGAAGAAATAAAAGCCAGCACAGAATTAAACTTCAGGGTCAGAAAACAGGAGCACCAGAAAAGATGATCAAAATACCCTGTTCTAATTACCTCTTCACCAAAAAAATGGCAACCTGTCTCACACAGAATGCTAAGAATACTCACAGGTGGCTGCAGCATTCATAATCTTCTGGATGAAGTTTCACATTTCAGAGCAAAACTTCAATGAACCCAAATTTCTTGTTTTAACACAGATGCTCACATCCCTTCGCAATACTTGCAAAAATTAAGTTTTATGAAGCAACATCTGAAGGCTCAACTAACTGTTCAAACTAGAATTTTAAAATTGCATTTATTTATTTAGTAAATAAGTATACCACCCTATTACAGTGCTAATGCAATTCTTACCCATTTATTCACAGATGATTTAGTTGTTGCGACCCAAAGCGCTGGAGGTGGATCAGCTGACCGGTCTAGCTCCATCTAAATATACACAAAACCAAAGGTTGGAACATATTCCATCAGTAACAAGAAGAAATAAAAGCCAGCACAGAATTAAACTTCAGGGTCAGAAAACAGGAGCACCAGAAAAGATAATCAACATAGCCTGTTCTAATTACCTCTTCACCAAAAAAATGGCAACCTGTCTCACACAGAATGCTAAGAATACTCACAGGTGGCTGCAGCATTCATAATCTTCTGGATGAAGTTTCACATTTCAGAGCAAAACTTCAATGAACCCAAATTTCTTGTTTTAACACAGATGCTCACATCCCTTCGCAATACTTGCAAAAATCAAGTTTTATGAAGCAACATCTGAAGGCTCAACTAACTTTTCAAACTAGAATTTTAAAATTGTATTTATTTATTTAGTAAATAAGTAAGTATACCATCCTATTACTGCAATGCACTATTCTGGCTGGTTTATAACATACTACAAACAACACCCAACAGCAGTAGGATTATAAATGAAAGCAAGAGACAATAAAATATTAAAATAGTATAACAATCACAAGAAGCATAAATTCTAGCTAAAAGACCATACACAGGGCATGAAATCAAGAAGGGATGTCATGAAAGGTCTCTCTGAAAAGCAATATTTTCTGGAGTGTTAAATGTAGCGAGGGATTAGTCTACAAGTAGAGTTAATGTATGGACATGGCCATAGAACACATACAGTAGTTATACCAAAATTCCTAATTTCAGAAAACAGTGCTTAAAAAAATTAAATACAACACTACACAGATTCATGTATGAGTTTGTGATATCTGCAGTTCTTTAAAAAAACTGAACCTCTCCAATAATATTTCCATGGTGTCAGGACACAGAATGCACATTTTTTTTAAAAAAGGGCAATGGCTGAAAAGAAAAGAACCTAAGTACTTAAACTTCATGTTACAGAAACGTACCAGCAAAACATAAGAGGTACATTAAACTGTATCTTCACCAAAAATATGCCATTTTTATACTATAAATATATTTTAAAACAGCAATCTAAAACAGCCAGAAGCTGTCTTGAACCTCTCTTGAAATAAAGTTTCATGAAAATGCATTAAAAAATTGAAATATATTACCTTAAGGACTGGTGCCTTTTCTTCACAAATGAGTACTCGGATATCAGGATTTCGCAAATCCGTGCAATATATCTTTCTGTCCCTTCCCCCTGAATAAACATGCGTGAAGGCTTCGTTGACCTGAAGTGCCCATACACCTTCATCATGGACTCTATATGTAGCTATACATCTCTGCTGACCGAGTGACCAGAGTCTGATAGTTCCATCAGAACTGCCAGAAAGACACTGTAAAGGAGTGGTAGTTAAATGTAAAGGCATTATATATCAAACACTATCTGGAAAAACAAAACAATGTGAAAATCCAGTTTTTCCAAAAAGATGTTCCTTTCTCCCCTTCTGATTTACACAAAGACCGCTAAAGACAACTACAGTGGTACCTCGCAAGACAATTACCTCGCGAAACTTTTTTTTGCTAGACATTAACTTTTTGCGATCGCTATAGCGATTTGCAAAACGGTTTTTCCCATGGGGGATTTCGCTGGATGATGATTTGGTCCGTGCTTCGCAGACCGTTTTTTCGCAAGACAACAATTTTTATAGCTGATCGGCAGTTTTGCACGATGGTTTCCCTATAAGCGATCTTCACAAAAGGGTGTTTTTGGGACCGATGCTTCGCAAGGCAGCGATTTAAACAATCTCTGCTGACCGAGTGACCAGAGTCTGATAGTTCCATCAGAACTGCCAGAAAGACACTGTAAAGGAGTGGTAGTTAAATATAAAGGCATTATATATCAAACACTATCTGGAAAAACAAAACAATGTGAAAATCCAGTTTTTCCAAAAAGATGTTCCTTTCTCCCCTTCTGATTTGCACAAAGACCGTTAAAGACAACTACAGTGGTACCTCGCAAGACAATTACCTCGCGAAACTTTTTTTTGCTAGACATTAACTTTTTGCGATCGCTATAGCGATTTGCAAAACGGTTTTTCCCATGGGGGATTTCGCTGGATGATGATTTGGTCCGTGCTTTGCAGACCGTTTTTTTGCAAGACAACGATTTTTACAGCTGATCGGCGGCTTCGCAAGATGGCTTCCCTATGGGTGATTTTCAATGGACGACAATTATTTCCCCCATTGGAACGCATTTTGGTTAATTTTTTTTTAAACAAGGTAAAGGTAAAGGTTCCCCTTGACAACTTTTGTCCAGTCGTGTTCGACTCTTGGGGGAGGCGCTCATCCCCATTTCCAAGCCATAGAGCCAGCGTTTTGTCCGAAGACAATCTTCCGTGATCACATGACCAGTGCGACTTAGACACGGAATGCCGTTACCTTCCCACTGAGGTGGTCCCTATTTATCTACTTGCATTTGCATGCTTTCGAACCGCTAGGTTGGCGGGAGCTGGGACAAGCGACGGGAGCTCACTCTGTCAGGTGGATTTGACTGCTGGTATTCTGACCCTGCAGCACAGGCTTCTGCAGTTTAGCCCGCAGCGCCACCACCTCCCTTTTTTAAACAAGGCAGAACTAAAAAGTCTGCTTATACATTAATAAGCTAACATCTATGTCCTGAAATAAGAATTTTAAGGAAAGTATTACTGCATGCAAAAGAGAATATTCCATGCACAGCTACCATACATCTTAGAAATATTACATTAAATGAGCTATTGTGGTAGAGCGGTTAGAGTGTTGACTCCTACTTAGGAGACCTGGGATCAAATCCTTATTTAGCCATGAAGTAGTGACCGTGGACTAGTCACTTTCTTTCAGCAAAACCTACTCCTCAAGATTATTGTGAGAATAAACTGGGGGCAAAGGAAAAACTTGTACGTCACCTTGAGTTCACTGGATATAAATGAGAGCAGATTTTTAATTAAAAAAATGCATACCTGTGTGCCATCTCTGTTCAAAAGCAAAGCTTTGACATTGTCTGTGTGTCCCTTGAGTTTCATAAGCTTTGCACAAGTTCTTGGGTCCCATACCCTTAAAACCTGTTGAGAGGAGGGGGAAAAATCCTCCGGTATCAAAACAATCTCAAAAGTAAGGATAATCTAATCACCCAGATGTTTAATGCCTTTAACTACACCTGATTCCATTTAGGCCTTTTGAATTGATACTAGTTATCTGAATAGCAGAAAAAAAATCATTATTTTTAAAATGATTTGCCATTGAAAGGTCTTATTCTGAATTTGGTACTACATATGGGTTCTTCTGGGTACCTTAACTGCCACCTAGAGTCCACTGCTGGAGCATTTCTTGGCTGGTGCAGACACTGAGATGACTAGGATAAAGTACTTATGTAGACTGACAGATACCAACTATTACAATACCAACTGAGCTCATCTGTATGAACAAATAAAACTGCCTTATACCACCAGGCCAGGCCACTGACCCCTCTAGTCCAAATACTGCAGAATCTTACAGTGCCCTAAAGATTAATAAGTTTAATCTGGCTCAAAGTCTTTGAGGAATGTAGACCACTAGACTGGACTGAAGTTGGCCACAACCTACATAAAACTTTAGGCAAATAAAACTTGTTAGTTTTTAATGCACCAGAAGATTCTGTTATTTTTCCTGTAACAGACGAAAGAATTCTCCCACCACCACCTTGACCGGGTGGCAGTAACTTGCTCCATGGGTCAAGCAGAAGCTTTAATTCCCTGTAGTACTTAACTATGGGTGGGAAACTGCTTAACAAAGGGAGATCATGAAACTAGGCCTGGGAACTGAGGCCAGTGGGCTAGTATCCTCACATTCCTGTTTAACAACAAAATCAATTAATCCATCTGCAGAAGCTGACTACAAGCTCCACCAGCAACTATTTGAGCAAGCTGGATTAGGAGGCATGAGGTACCGTATTTTTCAGTGTATAAAATGCCCCCTCTTTCTAATCCCAAATTAAGAAATCTAAGTGGAGCTTAGCAAGTGTAGGGGGAAAGGGATCAAAGCGCTGTAGGATCGCTTTGATCCCCGCTTTCCCCTCCACTTGTTTTTGTTCCCTCCTCAGCTTACTTCTGTGTATAAAACACTCAATTTTTAGTCTCAAGATTGTAGACAAAAGTATAGTCTTATACACAAAAATACGGTAATCTTCCTTACCTTTTCAGTGGACCCGGATACAATGACTGTTCCCATCTGGTTCATGGCAAGACTGTAAATAGAATCTTTGTTCCCACTAAGGGAAGAAGCTGTTGAAAACAAACGATTGTTAGCTATATTTTGAAATAGTCTTCTGGGTAACTGATCGACCACTGTAATACCGCTACAAAAAGGATTTGACCCCGCTGCACATGGCAAGTGGATACCATGTTCCAGCCCACCACGTCACTACATGGAAAGAACAACATGGCAACACTGAGCTGGGCCTTTTTTGCCTGGTCTTGGAGATGCCCTGGGATCTGAACCCAGTATGGGTGTGTACCATGTGTCTTTCTCCTATCTAAGCCAGTGGTAGCCAGTCACCGCAACACGTAGGTTGAAAGGCTCTGTGTGGCACTGTTGCAGCAGCAGCAACGCCTTTCCTCTCCTCTACCACCTCGTTGGCCTTATTTCTTAAGGTGCCCACAAGGGAACAAGGACTTTCTGTGGACAACACCTATTCTACCCAGATTCCGTCCAGATTCAAGGAATATACACAACCCGATCTTAATGCCTTTGATTCATCCACAGAAGGCTGAACTACATTTTAGGTCAATTGTCTGGCTATGTGTCAATTTCAGAACTGGCTTTGCCGTCTTTTAAATGCTAGTTCGTGTTATTTCTAATAGCCTAAGAAGAGGTACAACATTCCTTTTCAAAGTGCCAAACGGTCAGTCTCAAATAGCGATCCTCATTATCTGTAAGCATTCCAATAAATTATCCAACAGATCAGGACAGCAAATATGGGATAGCAGACTGAGGGCTGGCTAGAAAAGATCCCCTCCATTTTAGACAAAAATATCTTACTTTCCAGGATACTCACTTGTGACAGTGTTATTTGAGGCAGTCAGTGCTGTTAGCGTATTTACATCCCAGAGGAATATCTGTCTGTCCAACCCTGCAGATGCTACCAATTCTTTATCTTTTGCATATGCTAGGGCTTTCACATAATCCTGAAATAAAATATGCAGGCACATGTGATAAACCAGAGAGAGCATAGACAACTTTAATTTATTTATTTATTTATTGCATTTATACCCTGCCTATCTAGTCATTTCGACCACTCTAGGCGGCTTACAACATAAAGGATAACAAGTTCAAGAAAAATTGATAACAATTAATTAAATGATTCTGCAAGATGGGAAAAATAAAAAATAAATCAAATAAAGAGAAAAAAAGGAAAGAGGACAGGAATTAACTGGAAGGGAAGGCCTGCCTATACATCCACGTTTTTAGTTGGTTCTTAAAAGTACCCAGCGAGGGTGCAGCGCGAATCTCCAGAGGTAGGTTATTCCAGAAGCGAGGAGCCACCGCCGAGAAGGCCCAGTTTCTAGTTCTTTCCTTCCGGGCCTCCCTCGGCGTCAGGCTCCTCAGCCTCACCTCCTGGCTCGCGCAGGTGACACGGGTAGAACTAGATGGGAGTAAGCGTTCCGCCAAGTATCGAGGTCCTAAACCATTTAGGGCTTTATATGTAAGAATTAACACTTTGAAGTCAATGCGGAAACGGATGGGCAACCAGTGCAGCATGGCCAGAGTAGGAGAGATATGTTGGTATTTTCTCACTCCAGTAAGGAGTCTGGCCGCCGCATTCTGCACCACCTGAAGTTTCCGCATCAGCTTCAAAGGATGCCCCACGTAGAGCGCGTTACAGTAGTCTAATCTAGAAATTACAAGCGCATGTACTAAGGTAGTGAGCGCCCCTGTGTCTAGGTAAGGTTGCAGCCGAGCAATCCGCCAAAGGTGGAAAAAGGCGGTGCGGACTACCGATGCCACCTGGCACTACTGATTTAACAACTGCAGCTGTCACTTGTTGTAACAGCCACTGTAATATAGTTCTGTTACCTTATGAGTCCTTAATGTTGACATGCAAAATCCCTTATGTGCATTCCATACTTTAACAGTAGTATCAGATGAAGCCGATATCACTATAAAGAGAAGTTACAGCAGATTATCATTCTGTGGCAAGTAAGATAGTGCACCTATTTTACCCTTCAAAAATAGAATGTGCAGTCTGTTTTCCCTTGCAAGCTAATTTAATCTAAATCCCCCAGTAAAACTTACCACTCCAATAAAAAATATACAAGAGCAGGTGAAACCACAGCTCTACAACCCTGTCTATGGGGCAGCCCAAAATACTACTCGCTGTCATAACTTCTGATGCCACAGAAGTGTCTGATGACACTAGCCAAGAGTAGTTTTATAATGGTTTTAGTTTGCACATTTTATTTTACTGTATTTTTAATGTCATTTACCGTATTTTTCGTTCCATAAGACGCACTTGACTATAAGACACGCCTTGCATTTGAGGCGCCATCGGGGGTGAAAAGGTGTGCGCGTAGAGGGGCAAGGGGGAAGTCAGGCAGCGACTTGATTTTCCCTCCTTTTCCGGCACTCTAATCACTTTTTCTTCCCCCGGATCACTTTCCTCCCATCCATCTTTCCTTAATACCACTCTTTTCTTTCAACTGTCCTCCCTCCTCTCTCATAAGAATGATGGCGCTGCTGCGGGGCCAGGGCTCCAGCAGCAAGGCATGCCTTTGCTCTCCTTCCCCAGATGGCATGCGAGACCATGAGGCTGTCTCGTGAGAGCAGCTTGAGAGGAGGGGTGATCCGGAGGGCATATAAGGTCACTCACCCCTCCTGACTTCCTCCTTCATAGGGAAAGCTTCGCTGTTCAGCTGGCCATTGGGCCGCCATGTAGGACGGACCTCGCGGCTGCCTTGGAAAAGGCAAGGGGGACGGAGCTTTGAGGACCCAGGTGGGCGGTTTTAGCAGCTGTTTTTCCGGCACTCTAAACACCTTTTCTTCCCCCGGATAACTTTCCTCCTATATGTCTTTCCTTAACACCACTATTTCCATTTCTTTCAACTGTCCTCCCTCCTCTCTCATGAGAAAAACGTTTATCCCCCTCTTCTCCCCCTCTCACGACTCCTCCCTCTCTTCTCCTACTTCCCCCTCCTCTATCCATTCCTCTGTCTCGTGCTGCTCCACCTCTCCTTCTTCTTCTATCACTTTAAATTTTTACAGTATTCGCTCCATAAGACGCACACACTCCCCCCCCACTTTTTTTGGGGGAAGTGCATCTTATGGAGTGAAAAATACGGTATAAGTTATTTTCAGCATTTTCATGATACAACAGGACTTTCCCAATTAATTTGGCTAACAAACTTTATACGAATGTTGCTAGAACTACTGAGAGAGTGCATTAGCTGCAAATGAGAATATACACCAAGCATTATAAAAATACAGAACATTATGATATACTGACAAACATGGAACTCTAAAATGTTCTTGTTTCTGAGTTCTATTAACTGTGCAACTGTTTTAATCTGAGAATTTTTAAAATACTGTTTCAATAACATAATTAGAGGAACCTGTTTTTAAACATTCATTGTAAGCCACCTGGAGTTCTAGAATGGAAAAAGGCAGAAAATATTAAAATCATCATCATGTCACATACTGTTCAAAATGTTACTTACAGGTTTTGCCATTGCAACAGAGTACAATATCATTCACCCAATCTGTATGATGTTCCATAGATGCTATGTAAGGGTCTTGCTGGAATTAAAAGGATATTGTGAGTTCTTCTGCCTAAGAAAATCCCAATTTTTCATAGGAAGTCTCTTGAGCTGCTTGTGACCTCAGACAACTTTACCTATGTTTCAGAGCAATTACTTTCCTGAATCAATTGAATCAATGAACCTCACAGAGTAAATTCATAAACAAAGTTAGACTTGAAGTTCCATTATAATATAGTGGGCAGCATCCTCCTGAGACGTTACTCTGAAGTAAAACTGTACACGTTGTGGTGGCAAACTGCAATAATTAACAAATTACCAATCACACTGCCACAAGTAGGGATGCAACTAGTCACATGACCCCATCTTGTTAATTAGCTGCAATCCGTTGCTGCAACTTACTCATTGTCCCTTGGTCCAGAGGGAAAAATCTCATAAAGATTCTTGCTTGTAAGTACTCTAGAAAGCAATATGCTAACTCTGGGAAAACTAGATGAATCTGCATATCTGAAGGCCCTCTTCTGGGAATCAGCATATTTACTGTCAGCCAGCCTCTGAATTCAGCTGCAGTTCCTTCCGCCACTACTATTCCATTACAAAATGCTTCTGTATTCTCAGATACAGCCAAAAGGAAATGGCACTCTTTAATTACTTTTTTAAAAGCAAACTTCAACGGTTATTTTGCCTACTTCTAACACTCTGAGCACATCTTTTACAGTTAATTTCAATGTCTGATTTACCTTGTGTTGGTTGACACTCCATATCCTGATGATGGAGTCTCGTCCTGCTGTGAAAAGTCTGTTTAATGCTGGGTCCAGTTGCAGTGCATTTACTCCATTCCGATTGTACTTCTCCACCTCATCTCTAATTACATAGGAGACCTAAAACATGTTGACACCAATCCAATTAAAGCATTAAGGATATATTTCACTCTAGCCATTTTCTCAATGCTTTCCATGTTTGAAAGAACATCATGAAGCACCTCATGCACGCATATGCCTAACAAAGGTACTTAAAAACTGTAAGGAAACTTACACCTTTCTTATGTTTTGTGCAGTGTAGTAACAGAAGGACAGCTGTGTGAACCATCACACAATTCCTATTGTTTAAGAGGGTGACAAGGCAACAATATCTGTGTGCAACTTTTGCACATGGCAAACAAACTGTAGACAGTTCACATTAAAAGCATTAACACGTCAGCTGCATGTGCACTCTGCTGTCTTAAGGGAAGGCTTGCGGGATTATCAGGCTGGCAAAATTTGGCCCACATGTACCCCTCTTCTGCCTGTGTTTTGTTCTCCTTGCTGCCATACTTGCTGTGGTGACAGGCAGCAAAAAAAGGAACACCAGTGTAGTTTTAAAACAAGATTCATGGATAGCACATACCTTAAAATAATTGACTAAAATAATAACTAACAACATTTCCTTGAAAGGGAAGAGAGAGACATAGTAAACGTAAATCCTGTCGGTTCTCTAACCTCCCAGCTTCTCTTGCCTGCCCTCTTCCATCCTATTAATGTTGACTTCCCTCCACTTCCTGGGGGGTATGAGCTCCTCTCTGTAGTGGCGGTGGAGCCTCGCACTGTGCTTGTTCTTCCTGTAAATTGCCCTCAAGGGCTTCAGCAAATCCACTGACAGGCCCCGGTTGTCCCCATCCTGGCCAAGCAGCCTTGCCTTCTGGTGTCGAAGAGGACAATGTGAGGGTGGGAGAATAGCTCAAGGTGTGAGACAGGTCGGAGAAGAAGCAAGGCATTGCAGCTGCTGTTGTTAAAGCAGAGGAGAAGACAAGGAGTTGGAAGAAGAACAGGAAGAAATGGCTATCTCACAAAGTGAAATTAGACTGGGTCTCTGGTTTGCTCTCCCACACCAGGGGGTGCCTAGAATCCATCTGATGGTTCAAATAAATTTTGCCTCTTAAGTCAGAGGGACAAGCCATTTCAAGGATGCAATTTCTCCTGTAAGAAAAGCTGGACTACAAATGATTTAGCTGCTCAGTCATATCTTATCCGCAGTTTCAATGATCTAAATACAAGTTCCATATTTTTGTTCCAGTCGCTGGCAAATACAATAGGAAGTGGACCTTTCATAAGCCAATTCTTTTAGCATTTTAATTAACTGTCTGTCTTTTTCCCCTCCTAGAAAAATGTATTACTTATCAAATTTGTAGGGCAAAAGCAGCTTAGCTAGCTATAAGTCAGACTTCCAAATATGGTTTTGAAAGCAGATGATACCCACACATATAACTATTCAGTTTCCACACAAAATTACCAATTCACATGTCTTCATTTTCCATACTAAAATATGCGTGGTTGTTATTTAGAACTAAGTGGGACACTCAACATTTTGAAGAGCGTCATTGCAGTGATGCCAGAATTAAAAAATAATAATAATAACAAAAGCAACATTTTAAAATCACAATCATTTGGACTAGTTCAAAATCTTTGTTTGGCTTTAAGCAAGCAGTTAAGAAAAATAACTGTTTTAATCTGAGAATTTTTAAAATTTCTTTCAAAAATACACACTCAACCTACAGCCTTCAAACAAGTTTTGAAGCAAGAAGTTCATTTAAAACAGCATTAATGAGTCCATCTGCAATAAGCAATGAGGACACCATTGACTTTTTCAAAGCATGCTGGTTTTCTGAACAGTTTATACTGGTAAAAAATGAATAAAGAGACAGAGGGACTATGAGGGCTCTCTCAAGATAACTGACAACATGAACACCCTCAGAGAGGAACCATCAAGCCTTCCAGATCTGAAAATGTGAAAAATATGATGGGCTGTGTCTAGTGTTTATTGGAGTGTGATAACCGGGTGGCCTTCCTTCACAACGGGGAGGGGGGAAACGTGGCATTTTCTGGATAGTGTTGGGCTGCATCTTCAATCATTCCTCATGATGGGAGTTGTAGTTCAACAACATTTGGAGGGCCACACATTCCGTAACCCTGGAGGAGAGCCCTTGAGGGACGACCTCCATTGAAGCAAATCACATTGAGAAAGAAGATGACAAACAAGGAGCCCATAAACACCAGTGCATGCTGCAGGCAGATAAGAGGGTTGACTAGTGTAACAACATTGTCATCAAATAGGGAACTGTATTTCATGTCTTAAATGGTATATGATCATACTACAGAAAGACGCTACTGCTTGAAGGTGCCACAGCAGCACATGTACAGACTTGTGAAGCATCTTTCTCTCTCTCAAAATTTGTTCTAAGCACATTAGCTGCTTCAAGAACCTGCCAACTCATATTGAATAGAAGGATCATCACTGACATTTTTATGTTCACGTGATACAGACTGGGACATACACCCCCACAAACAATAAGAAAAAGATTTATCCCTGTGCAGCTCCCACAGCAGAATACGCTAGTGCCAGGTGGTACAAATCAGCACATGCCAAACAAATGGATGTAGCTCTTAATGAATCAGGCTTATTAGTGACTACCGGAAACCTATTTCCTTTGAAAAGGTCTGTTATTTGGCTGGCATTGTCCCTCCAGAAATACATCAAGAAGTGCTAGCAAATAAAGAACAAAAAAAAGGTAATACAGCACCAAACCCATACACTTCATGGACACCAATCGGCAAAATGATGGCTAAAACGGAGGAAACATTTTCTGCACACATCTCAGGCTCTAAATCAGAAGAGGTTAAGCTAAACTTATGGAGAGAAAAAAAAACAGTCACCTTGCCAAATGGATGAATACTGAAGAGTGTCTCCTATCAAGAGAAGACTCTAGCTGGACCACCTAGAACTCACTTAATAGACTTCGAAAGAAAATAGGAAGCTCAAATAATAATAAAATAAAATGGGCTACTTGGATACAGGACAAATTTTCTGTGACTGCGGAGAAATTCAATCAATGCAGCATTTATGCGCATACAATTTATGTGACCCCTCACATACAAAAGAAGATCTAGCAAATGCCTGAGACAACACCATTGAAGAAGCCTGCTTCTGGCAAAAAACAAAAAAACAATAGTCTAATTAACAATTTAATTTGTTTTACATTTTATCTATATTTCACAAATGTCCATAATTTTAAATTGTGCAACATTCTGATGCAAATAAATAACGAAAATATTAAACAACCTGTTTCGCCACTAAAAAGCAGAAATCTGATCAGTAGGAAAGAAGCAACAGGAGAAACTGCAGAAAGAAGACTTGTCTAAACCTCTTTGTACCTGTGAAAAGAATCTGCCACTCCCCCACAACTCTCTGTGAAAGATTGTTCTCACCTGTGACATGCTCTGGAGAAAATACCAATTAATAAATGTCCTCCTTGCCTCTGTTTTAAGCATTTATATCCAGATTCAAAATGAGGCTAATGAATAAATAAAAAACCCTAAAAATGTCTGCAGCTCCTGCCTCATCCCAGAAGCAAGAGTTCAAATTTTAATACTGCGGCAGATTCCTATGAAAGCTGGCCTGAGAAGTCACATCTTGATGAAATGGTAAAATTGAAGATCTCAACAGGCAGGCTTCTTAGGGGAGGACATTCTAGATTCTACAATAATGACACACTCGGTTGCAGGAGAACCCGCTGTACTGCAGCCGAAACTGTGCTCATAATCCGGGGTTCAATCCCAGGTAGTCAGCTCAAGGTTCACTCAACCTTCTATCCTTCCGAGGTCAATAAAATGAGTACTCAGCTCACTGGGGGAAAGGCAATGTGTAGCCTGCATAATTAACTTGTAAACCGCCCAGAGAGGAAGCGCTACAGGGAGGTATATAAGCAGCTCACTTTGCTTTTTTGGTGTATCAACCAAGCAAATTGGATATAAATAAGGATCAGGTATATACCAACATAAGAGTCATCCTTACGCTAGCATAGCATAGGCATCCTTCAGTCTCGAGAGACTATGGTAACATGCTCTGAATCAAGGAGTGTCCTCTCCAGAGCATGAAGCCTGCCTTGGACATATCACATTACATCAAAACATACTTCAACAAATCCCAATTAATATCACAGATCTGTGGAGGATTTAATTGTAATACTCAGTTCACTGGGGGAAAGGCAATGTGTAGCCTGCATAATTAACTTGTAAACCGCCCAGAGAGGACTTGAAGCGCTACAGGGAGGTATATAAGCAGCTCACTTTGCTTTTTTGGTGTATCAACCAAGCAAATTGGATATAAATAAGGATCAGGTATATACCAACGTAAGAGTCATCCTTACGCTAGGGCCTTGAACATATCACATTGCATCAAAACATACTTCAACAAATCCCAATTAATATCACAGATCTGTGGAGGATTTAATTGTAACACACAGGAAAAAAATCTGTGTGAAGGTGTTAGATGTGCTAGGGAAAAAGTGTGCTAGATATCTCAAATTCCATCAGGAAATTGGGATATCTAGCAGGAATCCAGGGCAGAACAATCAATACTGAGAAAACAGACTAAGATGAATCCATCCGCTTCAACGAAACTCTTAAATCCATTAGATGGGCAAGTAGCAAAATAGAAGATTAAAAAAGGGCTAGAATCCTAAAAGCAGCTTTTCAGCAAAACAAGAATTATTATAATACCCATTGCAAAGAACCAAAAGAGAATAACGAAAGAGGAAAAATGAGAGATCTCCTCCACAAAATCCAAGAAATCAAAGCATCATTTAAATCTAGATTAGGAATTCTGAAAGAACAGCAGCAGGATATATTTTCTGATGGGGATAAAATAATAAAAAAGTGGAAGGAACATACTGATGAAATATATGGAAGAGATCCCGGACAGCAGATTATTTTAAAGAAAAATCCTGTTATTAAAAACTACCCAACATTTCTAGAAAGCAAAGAGAAGCTGTTACTAAAGCACATAGAATAAATAAATCACTAGGAATAAAAGGCATAGCAACCGATTTATTCTAAGCACCAGAGACTGAATCTATAAAATCCTCTTAAGAATATGGTGACAAATAAGAATAATGCTGGAAGCATTCAACACACATTCCAATCCGAAAGGAAACATATGCCAAAGATTACAGTTAACTACTAAACCACATAAATTTCCAATGTAAGTAAAGCAATGGTCAAGATTCTACAAGAAAGACTACATGCAAGATGAAAATATCACACATTTAAGCTGCAGCCATGGCAATCATACTGGACATGTATGTTCTCTGGTGAAAATTTCAGGGGGAAAAACCGTCTGTGCTTTAAATTACGGTAAAGCATTTGACAGGATGGATCATGAAAACTATGGGCAGATTTTAAAAAATTTGATGCCCCACATCATTTGCGTGTCTTGATGTATAACCTTAACTCTAAACAAACAGCATTGTTAGGACAGAATATGGAAGAACAGAATGGGTTCCAATGGACAAAAGTATCAGAAAATGCTATTTTTATCTTCCCATCTGTTCAATCATCATGGAAAACATATCATACAAAAAGATGATTTAGACTGCTATGGAGGAAGACTGAATTATGGTAGAGAAATCTTCAATAATTTGTGATATGCAGATGATACCATGTCCTGCAGAAAACAGCAATAACTCAACTACTTAAGATGAAGTAATTTTGCAACTACTAATAAAAATAAGGTAACACTAAGAACACAGAAGTAATGACTATAGAATTAAATAACTTTAACATTCACAATCAAGAAATTGAAAGTGTAGAGGGTTTTTGTTTTGCAGAATGGTTGATGGTTGGATTCTGAAAGATTTCCTGTATGGAGAATTAATGCAGGGAAATCGTCCCAGAGGGAGACCACAGCTGCAATACAAGATTCGCCAGCGGGATCTGAAGGCCTTAGGAATGGACCTCAACAGATAGGAAACCTTGATATCTGAGTGATCAGCCTGGGGACAGGCAGTGCATCACGGCCTCTCCCAATTTGAAGAGACCCTTGTCCAGCAGGCTGAGGCAAGAAGGAAGTCCTGAAAGCAGCAAAATCAGGGAGCTGGACAGGGGCTGGACATTGTATTTATCTTCAGTGCGGAAGGGATGGTCCCTCTCGAATTGGCCTTCTCAGCTACACTAGACGCTGTTCCAAGACCTCTATTCAGAGCATGTTACCATAGTCTCTTGAGACTGAATGATGCCTACCTACAATCAAAATGCAGACTACATTCAAGAAATCAGAAAAGTAAGACTTGGAAGGGCAGCTGTGCAGGAATTTGAAAAAATCCTGAAGTGTAAAACGTTTTGACACTTGTGGAAACCAAGACCCAGATCATTCACATTATGGTATTCCCTATTACTATGGAGAGATGTGAACACTCAGCAAAGATGACAGGGAAAAATGATTAACTTCAAATGTGGTATTGAGAAAGAGCTTCATGAAAGACAAATATGTGGGCTGTAGATTAAATCACACATCACCCCTTACTAAAAAGTAAAATGACTAAACTAAGGCTATTGTACTTTACACATATCATGAGAAGACAAGTTGAAAGTAGTAAGAAAAGTGGAAGACTTAACACGAGACTGCTTGACTCAGTAAGGGAAGCCAATGCAAGAAATGAATACGGTTGTTAATGACAACCTTTTGGAAGTAGGTATTCCTTGTTATGTGCCATGAAGTCAGAACTTATAGTGACCTAATAGGGTTTTCAAGGTAAATGAAATATTTAAGGAGTGGTTTTACCCATTCCACTTCCCTTGTATGTTTCCAGGTCTAAATGGGGATTTAAACCCTGTTCTCCATAGTCCTGGTCCCTCACTGCACTATTTCACACTGGGAATCCCTACTACTCCTTAGGGTCACCATAACTCAGAAGCACTTAACATTGGATTTGGCCTTCAGACTGCAGGCTGAAACATTCTCTCACAGAAGATGCTCCTTCATGGCGGCCTTTGTATTCTTTCTGTTTATTCCACTTGCATGCCACCTCTCCAGCGGAAGGCAAAACATGAGACTCTTTCCTCTGGTCAGCAACCCTGTGAGGTAGGTCAGGGCAAAAGACAGCAGATGACTGAAGGTGGCCCAGTAAATTTCGCCCATGAATGGAGAGTTCAGCTGAACTCCTGTTGCTTAGCATAGCCAATGCCAAGGACAGAAGGCTCAGTGAATAGGCGAGGTAACTCCTCTGTAAGCCCCACTTGTTCAATGGGCCTACTCTAGTTGCAGCTCCCTATGGAAAGCAACAGGATTTCAACCTTGAGCATGCCTAGCCTGGCCTCTCCGCCACCCTTGGGATAAACGTTGTGCTGTATTGATGTCCCTCTGAGAGACATTATGGGCTGCCCTTTGGAAGCACGTTCAGCCGACTTTCGCCGGGGGATACGAGGGGGAAAGGGAGTCTTGGGGAAGCACGGCCGCCTTCTTCTGCCCCCCACATCCTGAGGTGACAAAAAACGAGCAGGCCACCCCTCCGGCGACGTCAAGGCACCCTCGAGCTTTTCCCGAAGGGCGCAGCCGTCTTCCTCCTCCCTCTCTCGGGGGAGATAAAGATCTGACGGGGAGGGAAGCCCACGGCAGCCGGAGGGACAATGAGACCGTTGTGGGGGGGGCGGCACTGGCCGGTGGGCAGGATGTCTTCCTTAGCAGAGGCTACCCCGCCCTTCGCCCCCGGATCTTCCCGCCAACCCACCTCCCTCCCGACAGCATCCGACCCCAACACAGCCGTCCCTCATCCTCTCCGGCCGGCCAGGCCGCGGCGGCTCCCGCTCTCCTTCCCGGCCTTGCAGCGCACCAGCCCGCCGGCCCTCCTTCCCTCTCAGCCGGCGCCTCCTCTCGCTCCCCTCACCTGCACTTTCCGCCGCCCCGCCGTGTTCTGTCGGTGATGGGCCGCCATCTTGCATGTTGACACTCTGTCGTCATGTCCTAAAGGGAGGCGTCCACCGGCCCGGAAGTCCCGCCTCAGGCGGTCTTTCTGGCAACGCGGTGACTCCCCCCCTTTCCTCCTTTGCCTTCTTTCAAGCTTCTAGGCAAGCGAGCGGGCGTTGGAGGAAGGACGTGAGAGGCGAGAGGCGGGGCTAGCGCGGTTGCTATAGCAGCCGCTATTGCGACCTACTGCGCAGCTTAATGAGGGCGGATGGAAACCATATGGAAATTCTCGCGAGAGTTGGAAGAAGCGGGGAGGGGGAAAATGAGTGAGAGGCTGCGCGCGCAACCATTTGTCTTTTTCCCTCCCTTTCAACCGTCACAATCGCCTCGTTCTTACCACAACGTGGTGACGGTTGCTGTTGTCGACCTGTCTTTTTTCTTCTCCTCATGAACGCTCTCTCGAGTCTTTTCCTTACGTTCCCTCCTCAGAGAGCCATGCTCTGCTCCTACTACCTCTAGTAGGCGCAATGCACTTTCCACACGTTATGTATGTTCACGTGTTCTCTGCTAATTTTGTGTGTAAATTTATTTCATCACCTGGCAGTGGACAGGGTACCTAATCTTTCTTCAACAACAGGCAGTGTGGGATGTAGACCATGAACTGTTAATAATGGCAATAAAAAAGAATAGTGCCAAAATATTATTTAAATAACATTCCTCAAGAACTTTAAAAACACATTAATGAATTTGTGTCACTAAACTCCATCGTCTGTGATCTAGAAGACAACTAGATATATTGCCACTACCTTTCTAAGGTGGGGGCTGCTAGTCAAGCGCACTTAGCGGTCCGGATAAGCAAAGCTTCAAATCTGCAGGTGCAACTTTTCCATATAATTGACAATCTATCTGGAATTGGTCTAAGTGATGGACCAATTTGCAGCATTTTAAAAATCTAAAGTGGAGGCCATCCGCCGGGAGCTCTCTCCTTTTTTGAACATAGTAGATCAAGAAGAGGCATCCAGCGCTCCACCTTGCCCGATGAGACTTGATCTCTTTCAGCCTGTGACACACAATATGGTGGACAAAGCCCCCCCAATGAGACTTGATCTTTCAGCCTGTGACACGAGATATGGTGGACAAAGCCCTGGACTGCTGTTGTGCCACCTCCTCCTCCCTTGTCCGGCCTGGCTAATGAAAGGAGCCAGGCCTACAACAACTGAATGGGCCACGGCAATAATTAATGGGTAATTAATGAGGAGACACCCATTAGGCCCATCAGGAAGAAAGTGAGCTTGGCAGGGGACAACATTGGCAATTAGAGGCCCGTCGCCAATGTTTCTTTCCTCAGCAAAGTGGTAGAGAGTGGCTGACCAATGAATGGATGAAACCAATGCCCTGGTGTAGCGTTCCCCTTTATTATGTCAATGGTTCATGTTCTGTCATGTTAATTGTTCATGCATACTCATGTTGTGGAGAGGCAGAGCCAAGAGAGATGTGATAAATGGCGGAACCTGAGAGAGAAAGAGTCAGAGAGTATGAGTAGCATGAGAGAGTGGAGAAGGAGATACGAGTGTGAAGTTTGGGGAAATCTGAGAGGTGGTTAGAAGTAGGAGTGTATTATCAAATAGAAGATTGTTGTTAATAATAAATTTACCTAAATACGATATTTATGAATCACTATCAATCTGTAATCAATAAATAAGAACGTTTTATTTAAAAGATTTTGAACTGTGGACCTGAATATTCATCTTCCTGAAGTAATGGTGATTTAGTGATCACCTGGTGGCAGCAGTGTAAAGAGGGGATTGTTTGCCTTCGTGTGCTCTGAGTCTTAACAGTCAAGCAAGGGGCACGAGGGTGAACCTGGATCCATTCCACTCGGGCTTCAGGCTGCACCGTGGTACGGAAACGGCATTGGTTGCCCTGTTTGATGACCTGCTGAGGGAAGATGTCACACACCCCAGTTCCCCTGTTTGTTCTTCTACACAACTCACGTTCCCTTTCGGGCACGACATTTAATTTTCATTCGGGCATGACATTTAATTTTCACTCTTCCGCTTACCACCAGTGGATTTCTTTTATCCACAATGTAAATTATTTCACTCCAACAAAGGCTACCAATCATTGAAAGTTTATTTAAAATATTTAAGAATCACAATCATTTAAATGTCTTCTTTTGTTTATTTATTTGCCATTTAATCAACTTGTTTATTTACTGGTTACTATTCTCACTTCTAACTTTCACCATTGAGGGAAAAAGAGAAGAAATCAGCAGTTAAGGCTGAATAGGAGCACATATATGAAAAGTGTGCTGTTTCAGTTAACCTTCAGTGAAGGAGAAGATGGCAGCCTCTCCTCCATTGCTATGACAGTGGAGCTCATCTGGCAGCGGTTTCGCTCTACCCTGCTTGCAGGGTTCCAGGCAGAAGATGGCAGCCTCTCCTCCATTGCTATGGCAGTGGAGCTCATCTGGCCCTATTGACAGTGGTTTCGCTCTCCCCTGCTTGCAGGGGTTCCAGGCGGCATGGATCCTGGGTGCCAGAAGTCAACACCAAGAACTCTAGTTGGGAGAGATGGGAAATTGCCACTCATCCACTGCAGAACGGGCATCACCAGAGTGTCCTCGGAGCACAGTGGAGAGCGAAAAGATACCTTCACCACTCACTTCTCCCAATAATGTGCCCCATTGCCCAGTTGCTCAAGAAGAGGGGTGAGACACTGCAGCTCACCCTCTCAATATACATCTGAGAGGAGTCTGGGAAGTCCAATGCCCTTCCAAAGGTGTGTCCCCATCTTCCTGGGATTGCATAGAAGAGTACGAGATATACAGTCTCCCTGTCAAGGATGAGCCCTTTGACGGCAGGAAGAATTGCCCACACGTTGGCATGACCCAGTAGAAACCCAGGCAAGTGGGGTGGCTTGGGAAGAGATGAGGATGGAAGATCTTGGGAGGGGTCGCAGAGCAGGAATGGAGGCAAGACCCTAAAGTGCAAGACTCAGAACACCCTTTAATGGAGGCTCATCTGCCAGAGAGGTTGACTGAAAATGCATGTTATCCATGCGGAAGAACATACAAAGCTTCAGAATTTTCTTTTGCCATGCACTGAGCAGGAAGTAGGACTCGACAGCCTTATAGGTCCCTTCCAGTTCAATGATTCTGATTCTATGCCTCACCTTTCTTGCCTGCACATGTGCTCCCCATATGCTTCGTATGTGCACTCAGCATGCAGCCTCAAGCAAAGTGAGGCAAAAAAACCAACATGAACCCTATACATGAAAATATTTCAGGAAGCATTCACAAGAGACATTTGGCCATCTGATCTGCTGGACAATACACAGGGGAAAGTAAAGAGAAACAGCAGGACCCACAGGCAAATGCTAGCCTGCCTTGCTTGGTTATGGGGGAGAACACTATCCTATCACTGGTGTTGATATCAGACTTTCTTGCCAGTCCAATAGCATCTTTCAGTTTTAGGCAAAACGTCTTGGATTAGCCTTGCAGGTGTCTAATAAAGAGGAATAGTGATTATGAATGAGCCTGAACCTTTGTTTCAGCTCACTCACTGGGAAAAGAGCCTCAAATACACTCCTGTTGTAGCAGAGCTGTGAGCTTCCCATAACAATGATCCAATAATTATTGTTTATCATGTGATCTCAATACTGGTTTACTGGAATAGTTGTACAGTATTTTTATTTCCCAAGCACTGCGAAGAGGATCTTGATATGCAAAATAGTACAGCCGTGTTCTGAATAGACACCATAGTTTGGCAGAGGTGCTGAAACTTCCATATGTTGTATATAGCTTCCCATTTACGTACTAGGAAATTATTAGGCCATTTAAATAAAAGACCAAAGAGTGCTCTGGGCAGCGAGCTCTTTAATGTGTACAGTACTTCTTTTAAAAGCCATTCACATCCTGTTATCCTTTTAAATCTGTTACAAGTTTGCAAGATTTTAAAGTGGAGCTTCTTGTATCTTTCTGTAGCAGACTGGAAACAAACAGGAACCTAATTTTTATTTTGAGATAGAGAACAGTTAAGTATATTTTCAGTTAGAATGTAGGCCGGATCCAGAGGATACTTTCAACATGTTTGGAAAATTGTTGACTTTTTTTTTTTGCTCGAGATGTGTAGCAAACAGTTGTCAGCTATGCAAGGGAAAGATAATAGCTGGATCTAAGATACCATCCACTTCACCTTGGCATTTTTAAAGCCAAACTTTCTCATGGGAAGATATCATAATACATACTGAAGTCAGATCAGTAAAAAAAACTGTCAGTTGTTCTGGGTTTTTCGGGCTTTTTGGCCGTGTTCTGAAGGTTGTTCTTCCTGACGTCTCTCTGGCCGGCATCTTCAGAGGACAGCAACCAGAGCACAGACAGAGTTCTGACTCCTGTCTTCTGAAGATGCTGGCCACAGAGATTGGCGAAACGTGAGGAAGAACAACCTTCAGAACACGGTGCGAAAGAGCCCGAAAAACCCAGAACAACTATTAGATCCCGGCCGTGAAAGCCTTCGCAAAACAAAACTGTCATTTATTGAAACAATCATTTGCAATAGTACAAGCTCAAGAACTGTAAAAGTTTTCCCCTTAGACAATTTTCGTTTCCCCTTCCAGGTTTTATGCTGCAGAAAAACAATTAGGCATTTGAGCTCTCTGCCTCTCACTTTGGGGTAAAAAGAATGGATCTTTAATATTTCATAAGGAGAAAAAGTCTATGGAGATTTAAATTTACTTTCTGTTGCATTTTCTTTGATGTTTGAAAACAACTAAGTTTATGTTATTAAAATTGTGCCATGCTCTGTTAATAATCTGTTAACACATGTAATTATGTTTTTTTGTGCGCTATTTTTTATTTTTATTAAACAGTGTACAACCATTCTATGCATGTCTTAACAAAATAATCCCAATTCAGTTAAAAAGGATTATTACCAGGTATGTATATAGTATAACAAACGTTTTGATGTACAGAATCTGATGGAGCTTTTACTGTTATAGCATGAGTCTCATTTCCAACTGCTAATTACTGTTAGTGAATTAACTACTCACTACTACCCTGTTTCCTTGAAAATAAGACCTAACCTGAAAGCAAGCCCTAGTATCATTTTTCAGGATGCTTCTCATATAAGCCCTACCCCAAA